GTGTGTGATAAGGGAGGTGTGTGATGGGGCATGTGTGATGGGGAGATGTATGATACATCGGAGGTTTGCGATGTCCATGGTTTGTGATGGAGTACCTTGTGAGATAGGAGGTTTGTACTGGGAGCAGTTTGTGTTTATAGTGAAGGCTTGCGTGTAGCTTACTTATGGGAGAGGGGAATTTGTAATTTAAAGATTTGTGAAGAAAAATTACTGTTTTGTAAGATGGGCTCGTATTACTTTAACAAAACAAGCCTACCATAATTATGTTAACGCAGTGATATAGAACACTATCCGGCCTTATTAATTTCAAACAAACTTGGCTTAACCTGGTAGTTATTGAAACTTAACCAAATCTCGTCTTTCAGATCGCCGCTGTCATCAACGGCGTGGAGTTTCGAACCCGTCATCTGGACTTTAAGTTGGTCCGTCCCTCGACCACCAACACAAGCTTTTTAGCGATGGAAGATATACCATACCCAGAGGTGCCACCGGAAGTCACGAGCAAAGCCACCGTAGCGGTATGTATCAAAGTCCTGTACCACAGGGCGGGTATGTATCTAAGTCCTTTACCACATATTCGGTATGTATCAAAGTCCTGTACCACAGTGCGGGTATGTATCAAAGTCCTATACCACAGTGCCGGTATGTATCAAAGTCCTGTACCACAGTGCAGGTATGTATCAAAGTCCTGTACCACAGTGCGGGTATGTATCAAAGTCCTATACCACAGTGCCGGTATGTATCAAAGTCCTGTTCCATAGTGCCGCTATCTGGGTTAAAGTGGCGATAGCTACTAATGTCCAATAAGAGAGTGCTAGTACGTTTCCACCCTTAATCTACCACACCGACATATGTATCAGACATGTGTTTCTCACCCTGATCAACTTGTATCGCCTTCTATTTTCCCATTGACCAACATCTTCTGTCTGCTGTGACAGGAACAAATCCTGGAGATGAAAGAATGGTTCAAGGCGTTCGCCACACAAAACTCCACACTAAGAAACTACAAGAACTACTTTAAGCCCGTGATGTGCTACATGGAGGGCATGTGGACTAAAGGTCAGTTATATTTTGTTTTAGGTCAATTCTTATTTTTAAAGGTCCATTTATTTTTTGTATGTCAGTTCTATTTTTTTATCAGGCGGCTTTTAATCTTTTAAGGTCCATTTCATTTTTTATGGTTCAATTGTTTGTATAAAAGACCATTTCATTTGGCTGTCAGTCATTATTTCTTAAAAATCAGAACTTATTAAAGATCAGTTCTCATTTTAAAGGGCATTTTTTCTTCTTAATGATCAATTATAATCTTTCAAAAGTATAATTTTGTTTACTAATTGAGTTAAACTGTTAATTGGGTAAATCCGATCGCTTGCTAATCACAATACGCCTCGTTTGTCTTCGACCGCTATCCCAAACCAGGTTATAGTAAGAATTTAAACCCAAACCCAAATCCTGCTTTAATCTATACCGTGATTCTAGAACTGACAAAACCTTAATTTTAAATTTATAACAAAGTCGACATTAATAAAATCTTAGAAGATACTTTCTCAAATTTAAAAAAGTACAAAATAAATTTTAATAATAATAATAATAAAAAAAAAACGAATGCATAACTCCTAAAATGTATCACTCTGATAAGCCTCGGGGAATGCCTAGTGCAGGGGTCGGCAACCTTTTGAAGCGGAAGAGCCAAAAGTTACAATTTTCAAAATTTCCCTGGTTTTGAAGAGCCACTAACATTTTTTTATTTCAAAAATTTTATTTTTTGATTAAGATTATTAGTATTTGTTCAAGGAGCTGGAGAGCCGCATCTTGAAATCAAAAAAGCCGCATGCGGCTCGCGAGCAGCAGGTTGCCGACCCCTGGTCTAGTGTCTTAACTTAACAAAAATGTTGACTTTAACCGCAGATTTGACCACGGAAATAACCGAACCGTTCCAGAGTAACAGGCACCGCCTGGACGCCAGTAGCTGGGATGACCTCATGCAGAAAGTAGGTCAACGTTTATTTAACTTCTGCCTTTAAAAAATGATGTTTTGTTTGCAACACACTGTGTAAGCATATTCATGCAGAGGCATAGCGACGGGGAGGGGGGGGGGGGGTACATACGTTCTCGGGCGCCGACCCTAGGAGCGCCAAAATGGGTTGAAAAAAAATTAAAACCTCATTTTAGCTGCAGTTTTGATTTATAAAAAAAAATTATTGGGGGGGGGGGGGGCGCCAAATTCAAAGTTTGTCCGTGGGCGCCAGGAGGGCTCGCTACGCCTCTGTATTCATGGAATAAATGTAGTATAACGATGTTGTAATAATGTATTCATTAGTATGACGTGTTGAATGTTGATTTCAGGTGCGTTACATGGCTTACACCGGCATCAAGGACAACTTTGAGAACATAGCCTTCCACCCCCGTAAAATCATGTACATGGACTCGACCACAGGAGTCCCCGTCTACGGGCAGTGGAACTACCGGGTGCTCTGTTATCCGATTCCTTTTGATATCCCCACCAAATATCTCAAACAGGTGGGTGTTAAAATACATTCAATCTCCTCATAACATATTTCATGGGACTGAGTGGTCTAGCGGTAGAGAGCTGGACTGCTAACCCGTAAGTCTCGAGTTCGAATCCGGGTTCAAGTCAGTAGACCGTCCCTGAGTCCACCCAACTCAGATGGGTACCTAACTCACGTTAGGGAAAGTAAAGGCGGCTGGGCATAGTGCTGACCACACTATGTCTTCATATGCCGAGGTCACAGAAACAAGTGAACTCTACTTCACTTGCCCCATAGACCGTCAGGTTTGAAAGGGAAACTTTACTTTTTTATAACATATTTCAAGAATATCAGTTTTTGAATCCCTTCGATCTCATTACAAAAATAAATAATTAATTAAGCAGTTTCGTTTTCTAATCTCTTCAATTTACTCACGAAATTTTTCAAGAATATCAGTTTTTTTTAAATCCTTTTCATCTCCTTATAAAGTATTTGACGCAGTTCAGTCATACAATCCCTTCAATTTTGAATACCGCCATAAAATATCTCGCTCATGTTGGTCATCCCTTCAATCTTGCCAATAAGTCTCTCTCTTTGTCCTAGCTTATGTATAGTTAGAGAGATTTATTTTTTTTGATTGTATAATCACATAAAGCTTAATTTTAGGTTCGGTTTTCTTTTGCTATTATCTGTATACGAAAATGTAATATATTTTTATGGATCATAAACACTTTTTTTTAAACTGCGTCGAAATATTATGTTTTGTTTTGTTAATTAAATTATAATTAATTGAGTTTAATTTGACATTCTGAACTTTTGTTTGATAAAACTTAATGGTGGGTGTGTGTTTAATTTGGTATGATATAATGAATGTGGGGATACAGAGGGAGGACTGGGCTTGGAGCTACCCCCAGGATCTGGATGCTTCAGGCGTTCTCAAGACTCGTGGTGCCAGGTTCCAGCTCAATGATATGGAGACTGACGAGGAGTAAGTCGCTCTGTGAGCTTGTGGTTTAACCGTACACAATGGTTTGTTGATATTTTTAATATGAAAGTCAGAAAGAGGTTGGTTTATTTTCTCCCAGGGTTTTGGTAACGTCGGGGTTTAGATATGGTTTATGGTATAGTTTAGAGTTTCCTGTTTAATTAAAGCGTTTTTCAATTAAGTACATTTTCGTAACAAGTCAAATTTTTCTAGACAGTTACAACGCTATTCCCTTAAATAAGACATGGATAAAACTAAATGTTAATTACGGCAGCTAAATAAATTTATAACACCTGCACTTTTTCTGTTAAATATATTTTTAACACTTCTTTAAGTAAGATATTTTCCACATTAGCAATTTTGTAATTGTAATTATTATTTTTTTATTTTAGGTATTTCATTTTTTTACTACATTTTAGTCATAGCGCTTCTACATTTACGACATTTCCGTTATAGCGACTTCAACATCTTCAACACTTCAGCTATAAAGTTTATAAAATCTACGACATTTCAGTTATAGCGACTTCAACATCTTCAACACCTCAGCTATAATGTTTATAAAATCTACGACATTTCAGTTATAGCGACTTTAACATCTACAACACTTCAGCTATATTGTTTATAAAATCTACGACATTTCAGTTATAGCGACTTTAACATCTACAACACTTCAGCTATAATGTTTATAAAATCTACGACATTTCAGCTAAGCGACTTTAACATCTACGACACTTCAGCTATATTGTTTATAAAATCTACGACATTTCAGTTATAGCGACTTTAACATCTACGGCACTTCAGCTATAATGTTTATAAAATCTACTACATTTCAGTTATAGCGACTTTAACATCTACGACACTTCAGCTATAAAGTTTATAAAATCTACGACATTTCAGTTATAGCGACTTTAACATCTACAACACTTCAGCTATAAAGTTTATAAAATCTACGACATTTCAGTTATAGCGACTTTAACATCTACAACACTTCAGCTATATTGTTTATAAAATCTACGACATTTCAGTTATAGCGACTTTAACATCTACGACAAGATCATGCAGGTCATCCCTGGACTGGACAACGTACCTGCCGCGGACGTCAAGGAGAACTACGGCGCTCCCCTGTACACGGCTGATGGCACCAAGTCCCCACTCAGGTCTTCGTACTACCACAGGTGGTACAACTTTGCCAAGAATGGGGCCATGGGGACCTCGGTAAGTTAGGTGGGGGCCTCGGTAAGTTTAGTGGGGGGCCTCGGTAAGTTTATTGGGGACCTAGGTAAGTTTAGTGGAAACCTCGGTAAGTTTAGTGGGGACCTCGGTAAGTTTAGTGAGAACCTCGTTAAGTTAAGTGGAGACCTCGGTAAGTTAAGTAGGGACCTCGGTAAGTTTAGTGGGGTACCTTGGTAAGTTAAATGTGGACCTCGGTAAGGTAAATGGGGATCTCGGTAAGTTTAGTGGGGACCTCGGTAAGTTAAGTGGGGACCTCGGTAAGTTTAGTGGGGACCTCAGTTAGTTCCGTTGGGACCTCGGTAAGTTTAGTGGGAACCTCGGTATGTTAGTGCGGACCTCGGTAAGTTTAGTGGGGACCTCGGTATATTTAGTGGGGACCTTGGTAGGTTTAGTTGGACCCTCGGTAAGTTAAGTAGAGACATGGTAAAGTTTACTTGGGACTTCGGTAAGTTAAGTAAGGGGACCTGAGTATTTAAAGTTTGGATATCGGTAAGTTAAGCGAGGACTCCGGATATGTTAAATGTGAGGTAAGTAAGTAAAGTGATGGCTATGGTTCAACAAGCTGGACCCTGAATAAGTAAAGCCGTTGAAGTGAAGACTATTAATTGAAACATCGTGTAGTCTAGCGTTAAACTGCGTGCTTGTTAATGTGAAAATAGGGAACCAGGGCTCGAAATTATTCATCGTGTTTGTAGAACCACTGGGGGGGGGGGGGGGGGGGAGGAAGCAAAATCATGGCGGAAACGCACGTGCTCACGGCTGGTAACGTGAGAGAAATGCTTGATTCAGTCCCAGTCTAATGAGCTATTAAGCAAATCCTTGATCTGTAAAGACAATGGAAACTTCTTTCATTTGCTCCATAATTTTTCACCATGGTGTGTTCGAGTCCCACTGCTAATTCACCAAAGCTCGCTAAAAACGAACTAAAATGAAAACGTAGGCTTCTCAAATTTATAGCGGTTCATATTTGACATAACGCATAGTTTGTGTTTAAAGTGTACACATATAAAAGGCGTAGAGAGCAAAATAACTAATTTTTCGAGATCGGTTCAAAGACACGAGTCTGAAGAACGTCATCAAACCCACCCAGCTCTGATGGGTACCTGACTCAAGTCAAGAAAAGCAACAGCGGCAGAGCTCAGTACTGATGACACGATCATTTCACGCGCCGAGATCACATAGACATGTGAACTCTACTTCATCTGCATTAAGAGCGCATTGTTTGAAAATATACTGATATTAAAAAATCGAACTTTTTTTTCTTGCCCTAACAGCTTACCCACCGCGGTTACTCGGACCAATTTCTATTCGTCGCCGTCAACTCACGTGACAAGATCGTACCAATGACGATTGACGACTGTAAGAGTGGGGTCTGCACCAAGTACAGCACCCGTGTCTCCTATGCCATCCCCATGGAGATCGTTTACCTGACGCCCCTGCTCAAGTGGAACCCTTACAACATCGCCTACAACCAGGTCGGTGTTCGTGGTGTGAAGGGGTGGGGATGGGTGGGTGGGTGGGTGGATCCTGATGTATTGTCAGTTATTTATTCTATAATGCGACATAAACCACTATACGATATATCTACATTCTTTTATAAGTATGCCAGTTATTTACTAAATTATTAATCATCATTATATCCAACGAGCCGACCCGTGGCGTATCATACACGGCTATTTACTTGTTTTATTTTCTACTTTTCAGAAATTCATAATTTGTGAATTCGACAGTACCACTGCTGTCACTGAAAATATTTGCTTTAAAACACTATCAATAAGTCGTTATGGACAATACCCCCTTCTCCTTTCCCCAACCCCTAACTCCCCCCCCCGTAAAGGCAGCCTCCTCTTAGCTACCTCCCCTAAGTTTAAAATCGTTTCAAACTAAATTATCTGCCCCTAATAGCCGTCACTAAACCCGGCTCTACGATTGTAAACATTTAGCATGAACCACAGCTCACCAGGCTTCCTAGAGAGGAAGAGAGGGGACTGCAAGGCGCGCTTACAGCTTGTTTTCTAACGTCTCCAAGAAGAGAATTATATATATATATAGATAGATGGTGTGGTCGAATAACAGCACGTTCGACCGCTAACCCGAAAGTATCGAGTTCGGATCCCAAACAAAATTCTGTTCGACTTCCTTGAGTCCTCCAACTATGATGGGTACCGGTACCTGACTCACGTTAGGGAAAGTAAAACGGCTGGGCATAGTGCTGACCACACTATCCCTTCATAGTCACTGAAACAGGTGAACTCTAGCTCCACTTGCTCCATGATTCTAAAGGTTCCATCCGTTAAATAACCTACACTAGCATTATATAACCATTTCATTAAACGATCTAATATTACCAATAACCCTTACCAAATTTACCAATCCACTCCATAAAGAACCCAAACATTACCTATACAACTAACTGAAATTACCAATCCAATCCACACAGAGTGTAGACATTACCTATACAACTAACAGAAATTACCAATCCACTCCATAAAGAATCCAAACATTACATATACAACTAACCGAAATTACCAATCCACTCCATAAAGAATCCAAACTTTACCTATACAACTAACATAAATTACCAATCCACTCCATAAAGAACCCAAACATTACCTATACAACTAACAGAAATTACCAATCCACTCCATAAAGAACCCAAACATTACCTATACAACTAACATAAATTACCAATCCACTCCATAAAGAACCCAAACATTACCTATACAACTAACCGAAATTACCAATCCACTCCATAAAGAACCCAAACATTACCTATAAACTAACAGAAATTACCAATCCACTCCATAAAGAATCCAAACATTACCTATACAACTAACAGAAATTACCAATCCACTCCATAAAGAACCCAAACATTACCTATAAACTAACAGAAATTACCAATCCACTCCATAAAGAACCCAAACATTACCTATACAACTAAACGAAATTACCAATCCACTCCATAAAGAACCCAAACATTACCTATACAACTAACCGAAATTACCAATCCACTCCATAAAGAACCCAAACATTACCTATACAACTAACCGAAATTACCAATCCACTCCATAAAGAACCCAAACATTACCTATAAACTAACAGAAATTACCAATCCACTCCATAAAGAACCCAAACGTTACGTATACAACTAACAGAAATTACCAATCCACCCCATAAAGAACCCAAACATTACCTATACAACTAACCAAAATTACCAATCCACTCCACATAGAATCCAGACATCACCTACGACCCCAACCAAGACGGTACCACCATCACCACCGCCTACAACGGCGCCAACTATGAGACCTACTACAGGACCCCAGTGACGTTTTTCAACGGTCCAGCCGTGCAGGCTGACGTAGCAGACACCATCGATCCAGTGGTCAAGATGAAGACAATTGACGTCAGTATTTATAGTTTATTATCATAAGTTATCTTAGATACTCAATTATTTTAAATTAATAATAGTAAAGTGTTAAAACCTTAAGATGAAAACTATTGACGTTAATATTTGTAGTTTATTATCATAAGCTATCTTAAATACTTAATTATTTTAATTTGATAATAGTAAAGTGTTAAAACCTTAAGATGAAAATTATTGACGTCAGTATTTATAGTTTATTATCATAAGCTATCTTAAATACTTAATTATTTTAAATTGATAATAGTAAAGTGTTAAAACCTTAAGATGAAAACTATTGACGTTAATAATTTTAGTTTATTATCATAAGCTATCTTAAATACTTAATTATTTTAATTTGATAATAGTAAAGTGTTAAAACCTTAAGATGAAAACTATTGATTTTAGTAGTTAGAATTTACGATAATAAGAAAGCTAAAATATGAATATGCTCAATGATTTGTAATTTGATAATAGTAAAGTATTTGAAGAAGCCCATTGAAATTTACAAAGTGCACTTCTTGAAAAAAAAAGTTACTCTTATTCGCTTGTTAATTAAGTGGCAATTAAAGTAGTATAATTGTTTTTGCTATAATTGGTATACAATAAAATAAATTAGATAACAATAAAATATTTTTTAAAACTCTAAGAATAGATAACTAAACATTTTTTAATAGTCGATATCCTCAAAGTCAACCAGAAGTGACTTAGAGTTTTTCCAAATAGACTCCTCATTTAAATTAAAAATTTTAAAAAGTTTTGAAATACGCCTTGTAAGATAGAATTTGTTAATAAAAGAATGTTTTACAAAAACGTAAGATAAAAGCACTATGTGTAGTGTTTTAAAAAATTATTCAATTTAATATAAAGTTAAGTGGTTGAAAGGTGTATATTTTTCGTGCATGATGGCGTTGAAGCACAACGCGTGTCGAAGCTAAGCTTACATCTCTACGAAGGAAAATAAAATTCTTTACTTTTGATTAATTTTATGTCTATATACTTCTTCTATGTAGGCTATAACAAAGTCGAAGATTTAGAGTTCATGGGCTTATCGTTCAATTTTTTTTTTTTGGCTTACTAAACAAACACAAAATTCGACATGTTAACGAGTCGGCTTACCTACATTTTTAGACATATATAAAGACTAAACACTTTGGCGTTAGACTGTTCTCATGCATTCTTAATTATAATTTTAGGGTAAAGTTGTTGACGTTACCGCCACTGGAACCAGATGCATCCTACCTAAAATAGACGGGGTGGGGGAGGTGAGGCTGAGGTACCCCATCCACCCCATCCACGGGGAGGGCAGTGCCGTATGGAAGGAGGTCAACGCCATCCGGGACTATTTGAAAACGTAAACAGCAACGTGGAAAACCACAAAGAAGAAAAATAACTACAGATTTTCAGACTTTTTTCTTCAAGATTCTCTAAATAAAATATCGAATATGTGTGAAGTCATAATTGCTTTCCTTTTTTTTTTTAGATTTATATTCCTCACTGTGACCCTGGGGTTCGATCGAACCCAGAATAGGAACCACTGTACTATAGGAAGCTGTTTGTAAAATGCTGTTGTGTGTCACACATTGTGCATGCGCAAGAATAATCGAATACACTGTGTTGAATATTTGATGCTTAAAAGAAAACACAAACGCAAACGCAGATTTAAACGAAAACGCGAACACAAACACAACGCACAAGTAAACACAAAAGCAATCATTAATAAAAAAAAAAAAACAATAGAAAACACAAACGCAAACAAACGCAAAGTCAAAAACGCATACTCAATCTCAAACGCAAACACTTTTTATCAAATTATGCTTTACGAAGGTCGGCGCTATCCAATATTCTCTAGTTTAACCATCCCTTTAAATAAATGGAATATTTATTTCCTCTTGTTGACGATCAACTTGCGCCTGTGTAGGTGACATTGACGCGTACAGTGTTTCTTCCAGACTTTTTTCTCCGGGGGGGGGGGGCACTTGAAATTTTCGGGGGGCGGTAGACTTTTTTCGGGGGGGGGGGCGGACACTGTTAAAAGTATATATTTTCTATATAAATTTCATTTCGTTCGGGGACTTTCTTCGGGGGGGGGGGGGGAGGCGGAGCCTGGAAAAAACTCTGGACACGTACGTGTGTCGTGACGTCAAGGGTTCCACGATACAGAAATCTTACGATAACGATAAGTGTTATCATTGCATAAAACACACAAAAATTGATTACAGTGTCTTTCTTTTAGCAACTTCACCAGGGCACAAATGAAGTATTGGACAAATAACATCTGTGCATTAGAAATGTTTGTGGTTTATTTCTTCAACTGGACATAGTACAAAAACCACCAAACCATGCCATTCATTAGAAACCAAACGTTTTCACAATGATCAACTGACTGAAACAGTTGGGTCTCATCAGTTGTTCCAACTGTACGTTGAAACTGCTAATTCATATCGGTTTGTTCATTCACTATCGCTAATGAATTAACATATTGCTCTATTGAAACAGCTAGCTCTAATCATATCGTCCATGTGTACTTTGAAACGACAAATTCATGTAAATCTGGTGATTTAGCTATCACACATGAATGAACACAAGGCTCAATTGCTGTAGATGCTGTAAACAACTTTGATTAATCAACTGGACCCAGTAACCACAGAGACAACAGCAATTAAACAGATTTTTTTTTTTTTTTTTTTTTTTTTTTTTTTTTTGCCTCAGACATGTAATTTACAGCGTTAGTTGTGTGTTCGCTTTAGTATTACAGTTTTCATCATCGGCTTGTGAGGACTGATACAGATTTACAATAGTAATATTTCTTTCTTACTTGTAGCCTACTTTCATTCATTTAAGATGGTTTACTTATACATAGATCTAATATAAAACGTCTAAATATTAAAAAAAAAATTTAAAAATATATAAAAAACAACCTGAAAATGCAAATGTGTAATTAAATGATGATTCAAGGGATTTTTTTTTTCTCGGCGTGGTGGGTGAGGGGGGGGGGGGGGCGGGGTGTAATTTGGGTTTTTAAGTAGTGGTGAAATAAATTTGTGATTACAGAGAATTAAAGTGATACACTTATGGTTTTAGATTTAAGCTAAAATTCTAAATTGAAAAAAGAAACAAATCAATAAACAATTATTTATTAAAGGAACATTAACTAAAAATCCAAATTATACAATCTATCGTTGTAATTTGTATTTTATAACGATTTACTATATATAAAGGTATTTAAAAATCAATTAAGAAAAAAGTTTTACAGTTTTGTCCCTTTATCGACTTTGTACTGTTAAGGGAAGTAATTAAAATAATTTAATATTTAATGTGAACTATTTCCAACCAAATATTTTTCTATATTGCAAAATATTAAACGGATAGGCCTACATAATTATACTGATTTTTCAGAAATATACTTTTATGAACATACATGCGCTTATATATGCGTGTTTTTATAATTCCTCAAGAACTACTTCTCCCCCCCCCCCCCCCATCATCCTGTTTGGCAAGTGTTGTTGTGTCATATGGTGTTATGCTTAGCTTTCCATTTCATAGTGGAACAAGGTATAACACAATTTAAAACACAGTTCAAATGTAATAATCCAATATAATTTTCAAATACAACAGAGAAACAGTGAACATTGACGAAAACACTGACTACCTGCTACCCTAAGTTGACGACACCACACACTGCTTACACACTAGAGTTCACACACTTGTCAGGGGAGGCGACTCTCACACCCAATCTCTCCGTGCCTACACGCTTTCGCTATGAACATCTAGGCCACGTCACACCTCCCCCCTAAAAAAAGAGGTTTCTTATTTTTCCTTAAATTAAACAGCATTTCTAAGGTCTATCCTGCACAACTACTTAACATGTACAGTAAAAATTTTAATACAATAATTATCTGACCTTTTACATGCTTTAAATCTCCCTATAAATAAATGATGGCGGGTAAAAAAATTATATCTCTACAATAAAATGCTGGACGTAAGCATGAATAAACTACTTATAGCTTTATACGTCTAGTCTATAAGTCAACAAGGTTTTTAAAAAACATTTGTCATCAATAAAGCATTTGAATTGAATTACAATACATCAGAACAATGTTACTTCCCTTTCGTTTTATGAAGTGAGATATGTTGAAATAAATCTAGTCAATGATGACAATGAAAACTAGAAGCTACTCATATAATACAAGTTCGTACACCACTCTAATTTTGGTACAGTATTCTGGCTCTGGATGTCGATCTGGATCTCGCTCTGGCTTTGGCTCTGGCTCTCGCTCTGGCTCTGGTTTTGGCTCTGGCTGTGGCTCTGGCTCTGGTTTCGGCTCTGGTTTTGGCTCCGGCTCTGGCTTTGGCTCTGGCTCTGGTTTCGGCTCTGGCTCTGTTTTGGCTCTGGCTCTGGTTTTGGCTCTGGCTCTGGTTTTGGCTCTGGCTCTGGCTCTGGTTTTGGCACGGGCTCTGGCACGGGCTCTGGCACGGGCTCTGGCACGGGCTCTGGCTCTGACTTTGGCTCTGGCACTGGCTCTGGCACTGGCTCTGGCACTGGCTCTGGCACTGACGTTGGCTCTGGCTCTTCTGCTCAGCTCTGGCTCTGGAGTAAAAACATTTTTGTTTCGATCCTGCTATCTTGACATCACAGTCTTTAACTATAATTAAAGTCTCATTAGTATCTTTAAAAAGACTATGAACTTGATACTGGATTAAAGTTACCTTCTGCTCAGCTGCCCTTGACCTAGTTCTCCACTCTGTTGACTTGTTGCCTAGATTGCGTCTCTGGTTGATTAGGTCTTCTGTAAGTGGGACAGTAGCTAGAGCTTTCATGTTGGTGGCGACGCAATGATTTGCTTCTGATGTGATCAAGGACTGAGATGCTAATATTGTAGCTCTAAAATTTGATAACTTACTTGCTATGCTAATGTAGTCCACTTTGTAGCTAGCAAGTTCTCTCAACTTCTCTCCTAGCTTTATCACTGTATTTTTAATGTCATTATTTATGGCCATGATGTCTGCAGCACTGTTCACAAGTTTTGTGGCTGTTGATACTAAGTCTTTTCACGTCGGCGATGACTGCTGCCGTTAATACTAGATGTTTTCTAGTCGGCTGTAACGATGCCGTTGATACGAGATAGTTTCTAGTCGGCTGTAACGCTGCCGTTAATACTAGATAGTTTCTAGTCGGCTGTAACGATGCCGTTAATACTAGAAATTTTCCCGTCGGTTGTGACACTGCCGTTGATACTAGAAATTTTCCAGTCGGTTGTGACGCTGCCGTTGATACTAGACACTTCCCAGTCGGCTGTAACGATGCCGTTAATACTAGATGTTTTCTAGTCGGCTGTAACGATGCCGTTAATACTAGCAAGTTTCTAGTCGGTTGTGACGCTGCTGTTGATACTAGACATTTTCAAGTCGGTTGTGACGCTGCTGTTGACATTCGATATTTTCATGTCGGCTCTAACGCTGCTGTTGATACTGGATATTTTCCTTTTTGTCTAGGGGTAAAACTTCTCAAAAATCTTGTTGTGTTCAAATCCCGGACGAGCCCCCACTTGTTATGCTTAGCTTTCCATTTCATAGTGGAACAAGGTATAACACAATTTAAAACACAGTTCAAATGTAATAATCCAATATAATTTTCAAATACAACAGAGAAACAGTGAACATTGACGAAAACACTGACTACATGCTACCCTAAGTTGACGACACCACACACTGCTTACACACTAGAGTTCACACACTTGTCAGGGGAGGCGACTCTCACACCCAATCTCTCCGTGCCTACACGCTTTCGCTATGAACATCTAGGCCACGTCACATATGGTATTGAGTACCTCATCTACCTCGTACTCGGGGAGGGAAGTACCGTTTGAAAAAAAAAGCTACCCATTCGACACAGTAGGTTAAAACATGGACAGCTTCCTTAACAACACAACTAAGGTAGACAACCAGAAAACTGATGTCGTTTTTTTTTTCAGATTTCTTTAAATAAAAAAATCAAATAAATAGTTTTTTTTATATATATATATTTATATATATATATATATATTTAAAAGCAAATATGTACATTTCACTCATCAGTTTTCATTTTTTTTTCTGTTTTTTAATCTAACCATACATACAAATATATAAATATATGTAACTCTTAGCTGTTTGAAATTTAGAAAAAAATGGACGAAAATTAATGTCATGCCATCTTGAAAATGAAGTGCTGACGAAGACATCACACCGCATCCTCTATGCTGTTTTTTTCCGCCGCCTCCACCCCGTTCTTGTTCTCCTCTTGGATCACCCTCTCCCTGTAGAGAACTTCCTCCGCGCCTCTGTCCAACAGGAGGAAGAGACCTGCGGCAAATTCACTGACCGCACCGGCCCAGCCCACGATGTAGGCCCAGCCAAAACTGTCGGATCGAGAGAAAAACACCATTAACAGATGACGTCGTTCTGATACCGCGTTTACACTTGCGACATGTATACTATACATGTCTAGAAAAAAAAAAACTTCTCAATAAGTGAGTAGGCTCCCCTATTATCTTAGGCCCTATAGTGAAGTTTTTTTTTTTTTTTTAGACATGTATTGTATATATGTCGCAAGTGTACACGCGGTATAAGAATGGACAGATATTAAGTTATACGAATGTATTCAAGTACTCTCACAATTTTAGACACCAATCCCGCAGTTGTTGTTTGTTTTGGTTTTTATGCTGCTTTGTTATTTGTTGTTTTTTTTCTCTGCGTTTTAGTTTTTTTTTGTTTTTTTTTGTTTTTTTTTGTCATCCTTATCTTTAAAAGATCCATAAAATGGATTTACTGTTTTATTTTCAAGAGGTAAAATTATCTTTTTAAATTCTGAATTGTGTAGTATTAATTTGACGTTTAAAAAAATTTCTTTCATAAAGTTTAATTGTATATAGGTGCAGTGGTTAAAAAAAAATGCTACTCCATATCAAGCCATAAAATAACTGTTAATTAATGAAATAGACAATTACTATACAAATCCTAAATCCAACAAGTATCATTTAACCTTAACATAGCTACTATGTAAAACAAAAAGTGAAAAACTTGTCCAAAATTATATTCGGGTGTCTAATAGACTGGTGATAAGGAATATTGGATATGTGGTCTATTTATTGAGGGGTTTTATAGTCCGTGTGAGATCCTCGTTCAACCCGATTAGAAATGTTACTAGTTTGAATATTTTAAGGTAATATTTTAAGATTACAAAGAGTAGTGAATAATGAATTTTTCACATTATCATATAAAATGCTACCACGAAGGCCTATTTAAGAAGCTTGCTATGAGACGACGTGGCCTAACGTTAGAGCGTTAGGTTGTTAACCCGAAAGTCTCGAGTTCGAATCCCGGGCTCAAATAACTAGATTGTCCCTGATTGGGACTCACGTATGAGATTCACGTAAGGTAGAGTAAATCGGTTGGGTATAGTGCTGACCACACTATCCCTTCATATGCCGAAGTAGAAGTAACAGCTGAACTCTACTTCACTTGCCCCATGGATCTTCAGGTTCGTAAAAGAAACCTTACTAAAGAAGCTAGCAACTCACCGGGAACAATTTTAACCATGAGTCATTATATATATATATATATATATATATATATATATATATATATATATATATATATATATATATATATATATATATATATATCAATTTAGTAATTTTTTAAATTTTAAATCTATTTTTGCTGAGATAGGTGGTGTTTTTTTTAAACACGTCAACTCAATAGTATTGTCTTATAGTAAAAAAATATTTTTAAATTGATAATAATAGTGTACTAGAATTAATCTTTAAGACTTTAAGTTAATCTTATAGCGTGTGTGAATTGTCTGGTTTCCTGATTTATGATTAAATTTAAAATATGAACGAAACGTCTAAATTCTATCAGTTTTGATTTAGTGCTATAACTTTTTTTTTTTAATGGCTATGACAATTTTATTAATGACTCAATATTCCTTACTACACGCCTGTATCACACGACACGACAGTCAAATATTCACATACAAATTAAATTTTGCTAATTTACTATTTTCAAATTTAAAAAAAATATTTTTTAATACAAAGCGCAAAGATGTTCAACAATTTTTTTTTTCATTTCAAACTAATGATTATTAAAAACAAGACGTATAATGCTGGGGTGCTTTCAAGCTAGGAGAACGATCGGTTTGTAGGTGTTTATGTAATTTTAAAAAAAACATTGTGACCAAATGAAAGGATATTTTTGAAATAAATTTCGGCAATATTGTTCTAAATTATGGTAGAAATCGATTGGTAAATGTTTCAAGTCGCCAAGTGGTCTGGTTGCCGAGATATGGGCCAAAAACTGCATTTTTTCGAGGGTTTTGGCTTTTCCGGGAAATCCAGGAAGGAATTCCGGGAATTCTTTTGGCCCACAATCATCCTCGGAACTTGCTTAACATATTTGCTTTTGGAACTAGTCCTCGATATTGCTTTGTTGAGGAGGAGATACGACTTAAAGCTGCGGACACACATCGGACACATCCATCCTTGACGAGTTAATAATCGCAATTGTCCGTATGGAAATTGCACTAAAAAACTCTAAATTTGGTCTTGAGGTTGTTTCAATGTTAATTATGTACCAACTGTGAACAACCAACATATAGTCAACAACAAACTCATGTTATACAAATTATAAAATAATCTGGATAACTGGCTAGCAGTGGCCCTCTCCAACGAACTTGTACTAAAGCTGCCTGTAATTTAGTGCTATAACTTTTTTTTTTATTAGTGCTATATTTTTTTTTAATTTTTTTTTTTTGACATATGTAAATTTTAAAATCAATATTGACACAGCTATTTTAAATATTAGTGCTATTTTTTTTTTTTTTTTTTTTTTTTTTTTTAAATATTAGTGCTATAACAAACTTTAATGGACAGCGGAACCCTATCGATATCAGAGTTAATTAAATGTGGTTTCATATTTATATAAATTAGGCAAACCATTTAGCTAACGGTTTTCACTTAAATAACAGTAAAATAAACCATTCTAAATATAATTTTAAACTCAATTCAAGAAAACTAACACTGTGAAATCTTATATGCAAATATATTTTAACATAAATATCAATCAAATTGTTTACTTCTGAATTTTGATTTATTTCTAATAAAATTTTGGAAAAAACTACTTGTTATTTCCCTTAACTGTTTTAAATTAATTTGATGGGAAGCTGCTCACCAATATATTTAATAGTTATTTACAATTATTCGTTTTTAACTATGTTTCGAAACTGTTTAAACAATGCTGTAATTTACTATGATATTGACTTATGTATATTAACTATATTTATTCATTATATATATATATATATATATATATATATATATATATATATATATATATATATATATATATATATATATATATAATTTTTATTTATTTATTTATTTATTCTTTTTTTATTTATTTATACACATACATATATTTTTTAACATATATTTAGGACTTTGTAAAGCAATATAAATATTTGAGATTAAGATAATTTCTTCTCTAAATAAAAATTATTATACATTTTTTTTTTTAATAAATTCATAGTTCCAATTCTCACTGTCTGAAAAGAAATACAAAGAATAATGTAGAGCTCCCAGTATCTTGGTTTCCTTACCTCCAGTGTATTTCATCTCTGTTGGTGATTTCATCCAAAAATTTAATGGGAAAAATTACTAGTGATGTCAGCTCAAATGCCACTGAAAACATAACACAAATGTAAAAGGGTTGAATAATGAATATCGATGTCAAAATCAGCTCACTACACTGAGAGTAGAAAAAAAACAATGATGTATTTTTTTTTGTTGAGTCATGTAAATCTTGTCATTATAATTGAGAAATGTCTATTAAAACATTTTGTGGAAAGAATATCATACTATCCTTCAAAAACTAATTTATGTGTACAAGCTTTATTAGCTTTGAAAAGTATATGCTATTCATGCATAATTCGTATAGTTATATTTTTAAAAGTAGATGTTATTCGTGCATAATTAGTATAGTTCTAGTTTTTTTCAAACAAGAACCATACAACTTATGAACGAATTACATATTATTAATATGTAATTCGTTCATAATTTGTATGGTTCTTGTTTGAAAAATATTTTATATTATTCGTGTATAATTTGTATAGTTCTTGTTTGAAAAGTATGCAATATTCGTGCATATTTTTATAGTTCTAGTTTTCAAAGTATACGTTATCCATGCATAATTTGTATAGTTCTAAGGGGGGGGGGGGGGTTGGGGGCGGGGGGAGGGATAAAAAATTTCCGGGGACGGACACTGGTAAACGTATATCGGGCCACCCCACCTCCCGTAGAGAGGCCTGGAAGAAACTCTGTGCCTAATTTGTATAGTTCTAGTTCTAACGTGTGAAATTTAGTACATTAGTGAATCAGTACGCCTACATCTTCAGTTCAAACATAAAAAAGTTCTATATTCATCCCTTGCTCAACACATTATTAGTCGTGTAGGCTACACAGCGTAGTACGCGGAAGTAAAAAGAACGACAACTGACCTGCAATGAAGAAAATCACCAAACCAGTAAAGTATAGTTTGTATTTGATGGTGAAGTTGGAGGTTCTCAAACCGATGGAGGTGACCACAATGGCGCCGATGCAGACGATCAGAGAGATGAGGCACAACGCTTGACAGACTGAGATCCACTCTGGGATAATATACAGGAGAGTAGAAGAATATACACTTGAGTAAACAGTCGTGTTAGATTATTACATTGTCATCTGCAAAGGTTTTTTTTAAATGTTTTTTATTAAATAGATGAAGTCAAACAACTTTCCAGCTAGTATTTAAGAACAATGTATATGTTACGGTCAAAGCCCGAAGTCGGCCAATGCTAGGATTGGCCGGCCAATCCGCGCATTGGCCAATATCGCCTCCCATAGGTCGGCCAAAGTCCGAAACTTTGCTTCATTTCGGCCTTTGGCCGGCCAATCCGCAGACTGGCCATTGTGGACCGGCCAAAGTCTGAAATAGCTCTTGATTTCGGCCTTTGGCCGGCCAGTCCCGGCCAGTCCGCGGACTGGCCATGGTGGACCGGCCAAAGTCTTAATTAGAAGATCATGAGCAGATTTTGTTTTTTTTTATGCCGGTAGGATCATGCAATTAAGTCTTTATTGATTATTAATTAAAGTAAATGACATAAACATTCAAATTTTTTATTGTACTATAGTCTCAATCAATCAATATTATCATTTTTTACAACAAGTTGAACTTTTATGGCATTTAGAATTACATAGCAGCTTGTTATTTTTACACTTGCAGCGATTTGTTGTACACTTGGTTGTGCAATTGCAGCGAGTGTAGCCTTGGCCCCCAGTCAATGATTGTGAAGATGCGATGAAGATGCGATGGTTCGTAGTGATTTTTCCTCAGTGCCAACTGACGACAATAAGAGCAGTTTTTCGTGAAGAATTGAAAATTCACTTCTAGCATACAGTTGTTTTAGAACACCATGTTCGGTTCCTAATTTGTAGAAACCGCCCTCGACGCTCATGACAACTGCAATCACGATTCGGGGATCACCGCGACCTCTGTCAACATCTGGAACACGGATGCGTACATTGTCACCCACTTCACCATCTTTAAATTTTGTATTTGATGTTTTAAGCATCTTAGCACCTTGATTTTGCAAGCCAGTATGAGCTGCTGACCTGTGTTCCATGATGTCTTGTTTGTTGTGACACAATCTGCAGGTAATGTTCCCTCCGTACCCTTCGTCTGCTTCATTGGGTACTCCACAAATAGCATGGACATCTTTGCCACAGGATCCACAAGAATGAGCTGCACTACAATGTTTTTCACAAACTATACAGAATCTGTTGGCCACATTATTATCACGCAACTGGTCTGGACGTTCCGCCACGGCAGTAGATGTGTAAGCTGAGGATGTAGTTGCATTTATGGCAACCTCCATTTCTTGTTCAATGTTCTCAAGATCTTCCTCAGTAGCTATTTTATTGAGAGCCTCTCTTGGTAGATTTGAAGTGCTAAGTCCCACTTTTGCTTTGCATCCAAACAAGGCTTCGTATGGTGATTGTTGGATTCCTTGATGAAAAGAACGATTTTTCATAAATTGAATGAATTTGAGACTCTCAGCCCAATGAGCTGATTCATTTGTTTGCATCCATGTCATCATCATATTTTGAACATCTAGGAACGCGGAAAAGTCTTTTGAACGTTCCGTCTTGTTGCACGTGGTCGGTGACGCCGACTGTCTTTTGTTCTTTGATGATTGTCTCACCTCGTCATCATGGAGGAGGCTGTCACATACAGTTGTAGCCCATATATTGAAACTAACATGGATTTACATTTTTTTTCTTTTGACAGCCATTTGCTATGTCTGTCTCATGGTCTGGCGGCCCTTTTGATCCATGTCGCCTTGCATATATAATGCTATACAAACAAGAGCTAAACAATACGTTACTCACAATGAAACCGCACCCAGAATAATTAAAATGCGATCACAACTTAGTCTAGATACAACATTGGCCAGGACATCCCGGCCAATGCGCGCATTGGCCGGCCAATGTACAAAATACGCTGTCAAGTTTAAGTACTTCGGACTTTGGCCAGTACGTCCCGGCCAGTGCGCGCATTGGCCGGCCAATGTACGAAATACGATCTTAGTTCTAAGTTCTTCGGGCTTTGGCCAAGAGAGCCGGCCAATCCGCGCATTGGCCGGCCAATCCGGGGTTTGGCCGCACTTCGGGCTTTGACCGTAACATATATATTATAGTATTTTTAAACTTTAAAAATATTTCAGGTTGATTTTTTTTTAATTTAAAAAATATTTCAGGTTGATTTGTTTATGTTTTAATCATGTAAATATAGGCTAAAATAAAGTACAGTGCTTGTTAAGGTGTTTATTTTTGAGGATCTTTTAATGGAAATCGTCATGATGAGTTTTGCAACAAACCACTATGTTTGTTTCTACAGCACACACAAAATCACACATAAACGTATATATATATATATATATATATATATATATATATATATATATATATATATATATATACATATGTAAATATGGTGGGCTGCAAAATGTAGGTCATCAAGGGACAGAGTCGAGATGGGTAGATAAAAAAGAAAGATGAGAAAAATGTATTTCATGCCGATAGGGCATCAAGGGTCAAGATGGATGTCCGGTTGTTCTTTTTGATGGGAAGCTTCATAAAAAGACACAACAAAATATGCTAATCTACATTCGACAGCTGATCGCTTGTGACAGGAACATTCGTACATTTTATGCTGCCATGCGAGGGTCGCTGGCTAACACGCTCTCAAACACTACCTAAAATGTAATGTGTAGGTACGTTTTAGGTAACTTGTCATAGACCAACAAACATTTAACGCTGATCAACATAACACGGACGCTAGTCGATATAGGACATACAACAAACGCTAGTCAACATACAACAAATGCTAGCCAACATACAACAAACGCTAGTCGACATACAACAAACGCTAATCAACCTACAACAAACGCTAATCAACCTACAACAAACGCTAGCCAACACACTACAAATGCTTTTTGACATACAACAAACGTTAGCAAACATACAACAAACGCTAGTCAACATACAACAAACGCAAGCCAACATACAACAAACGCTAGTCAACCTACAACAAACGCTAATCACATACACTAACGCTAACCAGCACACATTAAACCTGACAGACTCACCATGCCCTGTAAAAAAGAAATATTGTCATTGTTGTTAACTTACAACATAGAAACAAAAGCTCAAAATTCCTTATTAATTCCCTATCCACACACCTTAAAATGAGATCAAACAAGCAATCATACATTCCAAACACTTTATCCACTTCAGAACACATTCTTTAAAATCTTCATCTTCCACCACGTTCGCTCTTCTAATCACAACAAATTTTAATTTTCCTAATACTAAGTCGTAAATGTAAGTAAACGAAAGCCCTTTGTTAATAAAAGAGTATTGTGGTTTACAACCACACAAAAATCAACTCCCTTTCCCACCCCACATAAACACTGTTCGTAAACAGTGACGTCATTAGATCGGGTGTCACCCGGTGAGGCAGCTTATGGTGTCAACCCCCCCCCCCCCCTCCGCTCCCCATGTTGCCAAATCGCGTGAATTTGTGAACACATTATTTTAATTCCAAAGGAGCAAAGCAACATTTCATGGTTTTCTCGATGGTTAACATGGTGCGCCTCCCAAAGACCATACAACGTATGTCTTGCCTTCCATACCCCACACAGCTTCACTTCCTTCCAACCACCTCCCTCTATATAACACCAATATAACACCAAGTAGGATCTGCATCCTCACCCCCCACCCCCCACGCCCATTTCCGCCACACATCATCACTTCACCAATTCCTCCCAATCACCCCTCCTACCCCACCCCTCACCCCCGCCTATATACAACCAACCTACCGAGTGTAAGTCCCATATCACTATACAACCAATCCAGAGGCGTAGAGACCCTTCCCGGGGACAAACTTTCAAATTGGCGCACCCTCGGGAACAACCTTTCGATTTTCAATTTGCACGCCCACACCCCTCAAACTTGCAATTTGCACCCCGACCCCCCACCCCTCTCAAACTTTCAATGTTTCAATTTGCACCCCCCCCCCCCATATATTTTGTTATATATTTTTAATGCAAAACTGCAGCTAAAATGAGATTTTAATTTGTTTTTCCAACCCATTTTGGCGCCCCCTAAGGTCGGCGCCCGGGGACACATGTACCCCCCACCCTCGCTACGACTCTGCCTACCACGCGGAAGTCCCATACCACTATACAACCAACCTACCACGCGGAAGTCCCATTTCACAGTTCAAGGAGTTTGGGTTGGTCCTGTTGTACGAGCATCTCTCCCACAATCCTTCGCGCGTGTTGTCCGCCTGTAGCCAGGCTGTCGCTGCCACGGACAGCATCAACAGCAGGACAGCAATGACGCCACACAGCAGACCAATCACCTGCCGGGTAATTGGGGTTAACATTTGATTAGAGGTTAGAATTAGCTGAAGTTTTATGACTTTTTATGACGCCATACATCAGATTAATGATCTGCCGGGTAATTAGGGTTGGAATTTAATTATTGGTTATAATTAGACGTAGTTTGTTTTATGATTTTTATGACGTCACACAGTAGACCAATCACCTGTACGGTAATTAGGGTAAACATTTAATTATTGGTTATAATTAGACGTAGTTTGTTTTATGATTTTTTATAACGTCACACAGTAGACCAATCACCTTCAGGGTAATTAGGGTTATGATGTAATTATAGTTTATAATTAGATGTAGTTTATGACTTGTTATGTCGTCACATAGCTGACCAATCACCTGCCGGGTAATTAGGGTTAAAATTTAATTAGAAGTTATAATTAGCTGTAGTTTGTTTTATGATTTTTTTTTATGACGTCACACAGTAGACCAATCTCATCTTCATGGTAATTAGGGTTAAAATTTAATTAAATGTTATTATTAGATATAGTTTTATGACTTGTTATAACAGCAGACCAATCATCTGCCGGTTAATTAGGATTGGAAATTAATTAGATGATATAATTAGATGTAGTTTGTTTTCTGATTTTTTATGACGTCACACAGTAAATCCCCTGTAATTTGGGTTAAAATTTAATTACAGGCTATAAATAGCTGTAGATTTATTACTTGTTATGACGTCACTCAGCAGACCAATCACATGCCGGGAATTGGGGTTAACATTTAATTACAGGTTATAATTAGATGTAGTCTTAGGATTAGGATTAGAATTATCGCTATGACTCAGCACAACAGATTGACAAATCACCCGTTACAGGTGGAGATGATTGGGGTTACATTTTAATTAGAGATTATAGTTAATTAGCTTTACTGTAATGACGCTATAAGGCTCACCAATTAACCGGACAATGATGACGACACACAGCAGAGCAATAATGTGGTAATTAGTGTTAAAGTTTAATTAGAGGTTATAGTTAAACGGCTGTGCCGAAATTATGTTACATCAAAGACCAATCACTGTTGGGTAATTAGGTTTATATTTCAATTAACGGTCATAGTTAATTAGCTAAACAGCAATGCCACATAACCCGGAAGGTAATTTGGATTAAAATTTAGTTAGAGGTTATAGTTGATTAGCAGAACCATTTCGACACAACGTAGCAGTATAGGAATTTAGGGATTAGTTTCCGCAATTGCGCAACTTAGAAGAATAAAAATAACCTGTGGGAATTAATGTTACATTTTAATTAAACTTGGTATTGGCATTACTACTCTTAATTAGAATTAAAATTTAATTACAGGTTGTAAATTATGAGCTTTACGACACCTCACTGCAAATTAATATCCTGAGGGTTATTTTGGTTGGACTATTTCCTTAGAACCTTTGATACATTTTGTTAAATCTCTAAATTTCGTTGCATTAATTTTTTCAACCGTGGCAGGGAAAGGTTTCAAACCTAATATGTGGCAGGTGCCATCACTCTTGATTCATGTATAGTTGTTTTTATTGGGGATTGCATCCCCTTTTTTTTCATTTTTCCCTTTTGCTAGCTGGTGCGACAGCATGGTTGGATGATAGAACGCGTGACTTTAAACTCGAAAGTCTAGAGTTCGGATCTCAGGCTCGAGACCGTTCCCGTGTTGACATGTTCCCATGGTTACCTGACTCATGTTAGGGAAAGTAAAGGGCGGCAGGGTATAGTTCAAATATTCTTTCAAATACTGAAGCCACGGTAACAAGCAAACAGAGTTTCTTACAGGCATCCCCCGAACCAAATGGAATTTAAACAGAAAATATGTACTTTTACAAGTGTCCGCCCCCCCCCCACCCCAATATCAAGTCCCCCCCCCCCCCCGGGAGAAAAAAGTCTGAAAGAAACACTGCAGGAAAGTACCCTTTCTAACCTGATAGTCCATGGGGCAAGTGAAGTAGAGTTCACCTGTTTCTGTGACCTCGGTATATGAAAGGATAATATGGTCAGCACTATATAAAGCCGACTTTACTTTTCCAAACGTGAATTAGGTACCCATTAGAGCTCTGTTGGCTCTGGTATGTTTTACAAACTTGAATCCGGATTCGAACTCGAGACTTTCGGGCTAGCAGTCGTATGCTCTACCATTCGTCTGCTCCGTCCAACAATCCTGCATGAAGACTAATTTTAATTACCTTGATTGGCCTGACGACAAGGACTGTCTCAATGATGACAGCAGGTGGTTTGGTGCCTCCCTCCGCCCCCATCGTTTAACTGTTGATAATTTGATTAGGTTAATTAACTGACCTGCAGAAAAACGTGATATTTCATTATTCATTTTGTTGGATATATAAAACTGACATTTTAGAAAAAGTCGAGGCAAAATTAAATAAAGTAAAACAAAGTATGAAATAACAACTTATTTTTTAATTTTTTAAACATTTCATTAAAGGTCTAAAAGCAAAGTAAAAAACAACGATAAAGCCCTTTCCAAACTAACTATTAGTAGTCATACGTTTCAGTGTTTCTTGCAGACTTTTTTCTACGGGGGGGGGGGGGGCACTTGAATTTTTGGGAGGGGGGGGGGGGCGGACACTGGTAAAAGTATATTTTTACTATATAAATTCCATCTCGTTCGGGGAGGGGGCTGTAGACTTTCTTCGGAGGGGAGGGGGGGGGGCTCTGCCCCCCCCCCCCCCGAAGAAATGCCTGGAAGAAACTCTGTACGTTTGTGTAAAAAAACGTAGAGGAGAAACTAAAATAATCATCTTCTTCGTTCTTAATTTTGAATATGGTGGAGGATTCAGACAACAAGTCCAACTTCGTGGACAAACCGGACTGTGGTCTCCAGTTTGTGCCCCATATAATCCATGTTGCAACATGGGTTACTAGGTGCAACAGCAGAATAAAGTATGTAAAACTTGTCATGTCAATAATTTGTCTAGCCCCAAAAATTCTAAAACGCCACAGTTTGTATATAGTTATATATATATATATATATATATATATATATATATATATATATATATATATATATATATATATATATATATATATATATATATATATATATATATATATACCTACATGTATTTTATTCATTCAGAACCCTTTTTTTCATTTATAATTAGCTATTTACCTGTAAGAATACTTACCAAAAGAGAGTTTCCGTGTGAATAATAAAACTTCTAAGTTAAACTTAGACGCCGGTGATGTTATTGTGTTTTGTAACTACCCACAATGCATTTTTATCACAGCCGTTAAAGCACGTGCAATGTTGAGCAGATAACTGCTGCTCTGTGTTGTGGTGGTTGGGGGTTAGGTCGGAGGAGCGCACGTGCTACAGGTGAGCGTAATTAGCGACTAGGTGGCTCAGGTAGGATTTATTGTGGAGTAGAAGAATCACATGATCCCGATGCTAAAAATAACGCGGTGTTGTGTGTACGAGTTGCAGGAGTCTGCATTAAGCTATGCGTTCGAGATTTCTTCTTTTGTTTCGTTATCGTATCTTACAAATGATCCTAGTTTTACTATTCATAGACAATAGAAAACAGACTATACTCTATACCTTTATGGAAAACGTTTGTCGTTGGCCAACAGGATATGGAATCGATGAAGAGAGCAAAAAAAGGAGGGGGGGGGGTCTGGAATTCTAGCACGAGGTGTGGGAGATGGGGAGAAAAGTAAATCTAAAAATAAAATAAACAGGTAAACAGCCCGCCTTTTTTAAAGCTAGGTGGGCGGGTAACATATTTTTTGAGTAAAGACTAAAGATAGGGCCTATTTTAAATGTCACAATCATCTAAAGCGGGCATCCACTAATTACGTCACAAGATGACAGAGTGTAGGGGTGGGGTGGACGATGAACATCAACTTAAACTACAGGTTTTTTTTTTCCATTTTGAACTGTGTTTCAGAAGCGTAGCGATGGGGGGCAGGGGGGACATATGTCCCCGGGCGGCGACCATAGCGGGCGCCAAAATGGGTTGTGAAAACAAATTAAAATGTCATTGTAGCTGCATTTTTGCAGTTTGGGGGGGGGGGTTGCAATCGAAAAGTTGAAGGGGGGGGGGGTGCAAATTAAAAATTTGCTCACGACTGGGGGTGCCAAATTGAAAGTTTGTCCCCGGGCGCCGGGAAGGGTCGCTACGCCTCTGCTGTGTTTCAGAAAATGTACTCCACCACCTTCGATATTTTCACAAAACCTCACAAAAAGTACCGCCCCCCCCCCCCCGCCCCCCCCCCCCCCACCCCCCCCCCCCCCCACCCCTTCCTTAACATGGCTTCACATTTCAGCTTCAAGTTCACATACATATTAAAAGAAGTTGCATTGTTCAGCATCTCTTTACCTAACCCACTATCACTGTGTGTACTGTTTTGGACGAGGAAGAGTGGTGAGGTGTGTATTTTAAACGTGAAGTATCTCTACATTAGGTGTTACATCAAGGGAGGTAATATGTATATCTCTTATAGCGTGATAAAGAAAATCGATCGTAAAAATAGCAGGTGAATTTTCCGCTACCGATGTTATGTTATCCCACCCGTTCAGTGGCTAGTATGTTACTTCCGAAACTTGGTGCATTATTTTCAAATCACAATTTGTATTTTTTTTCCTTACCACATCCTAGAAAGCTTCATACACGTGCGTATCAACATTTTCCAGACAGTGTTTCTTTCAGACACCACTTTCAGGACGACGAAACCCCCCCCCCCCACCCCGGAAGTTCCAAGTGCACCCCACCCCTCGGAGAAAAAAAAAGTCTGAAAGATACACTGATTTCAGCAATATATTGTGTGTCACCCCTCTTCTTGTTCATCACAATAAAGTGGTTCTTCCCATTCCCTCCCCACCCTCCCCCCATCCCAGTGGCGTAGCCAGGATTGTCTCAAGGGTGGGGGGGGGGGAGTTCCAATTTTTACCCGGGGACAAACTTTCGATTTGCACCCCCCTCAGACTTTTGATTTGCACCCCCCCTCTCAGACTTTCGATTTGCACCCCCTCATACTTTATATATATATATATCTTTATACTGCCCTATCCCCCACCTTCCGTGACACGAACACAGTTTAAAACGTGAGCTGAACGCCCATGAATGTCTTAATAGAACCACATTTTTAAAAAAATTGTCAGCGTTTCAGAAAAGGAGTGAAAATGTTACTAAACACAGTCAATGAAGAATCAAACCCTAACCTGGCTCTCTGCAATGTATTAATAACATGCCGCATGTTTATAACTGCTACGGCATTCAGAGTTTCTTCCGTCCGTCGTCCAGTGTTTCTTCCAGACTTTTTTCTCCGGGGGGGGGCACTTGAAATCTTCGGGGGGGGGGGGGGGGCGGTAAACTTTCTTCGGGGGGGGGGGGCGGACACTGTTAAAAGTATATATTTTCTATATAAATTATATAAATTTCATTTCGTTCGGGGGGGGGGGGGGGGGGGGGGGGGGGCGGTAAAAAATTTTCGGGGGGGCTTCGCCCCCTCGAAGAGATGTCTGGAAGAAACTCTGCCGTCGTCCCCCCCCCCCACCCCAGAACGAAATGGAATTTATATAGAAAATATATACTTTTGATAGTGTCCGTCCCCCCCCCCCCCTCCCGAAAATTTCAAGTGCACCCCCAGAGAAAAAAGCCTGAAAGAAACACTGTGTGTGTGTGTTTGTGTGTGTGTGTCGAAATTTGTATAGTGGTTTGTCAATATGTGGAAAGGTGGGGGGGGGATATTTGGTCTATGAAAATGTTATATAAGTTTGTTTGTATCAGGGGAACATTAGTAATGTCCTATATTCGTTATTTAATGTGCTTGATACTTAACAGGCAACGTCTTTTAAGCTTTTAGTAGAGCGTCTTACTTTTGTACAACAAATAATACAAATAGTTAACGTGGCTAAAAATAAACACCTTTTGCTTTTGTACGGAGTTATCTAACCTGAACAGCTGCTTAGGCCATCCATTATTTTATGTCGCATAACTCTCCCAGGAAGAAGAGCATATTGCCTAATAATTAGCATCTAATTATCAAACGACACCACAAATCAAGGCTTACCACTGAATGTTTGCTTTTGACGTAAATCCGAGACTTGATGCCAGAACTGAAAACCCAGGCTTGTTTTCTCGACTCGCAGCGTGGAATTAGGCCGATAATTCTCACAGACTTGTAAGCTACAGGTAAAACCCTAGGCCTAGACAAACCGGTGGTGTTTATCTGAGCCAGACTGATCCAGGGATGCTATTGTGTATGATGAATATAGATCACTTGTGCGTTAGAAATGGAAAGCGTGAGCAGGAGAAAGGTCACAAGGTCACCAAACAGGGGCGTCGTCCTAATTTTGTTTTGTTTTTAAAATCTTATTAAGGTGGTATTGTAAAATCAGGGGAGAAGGGGTGTACAATGGATGCACTTTATGTAGCCATAACCTATTTAATCCAAACTAGGCTGGATTAGCGTTTGGCGCTCTTCTAATCTAGTAGTAAGTAAAATTATGACTTTAAATATATACACTTGCACTTATACACACAATCACACTAACTTTTTTCACATATACTTACACGTAATTACACACATAATTACACACACAAACTCTCTCAGACACATACATAGGCGTTTTGTACACATACCGATATTCACACACATATGCGTACATACAACCACTTACACAAATTTTCACACACACATATCTCCTCCCTTCACACACACACACACACACAACACTTTCTGGATCAGCTCCACCATAGCCGAGGTTACCGTAAACATCTGTTGTTATACCGTCACAAATCAGATGGCGGAACTGCTGTTAAGGCGGCTAGTTAACTCTCTTTCTCTCCTTTCTATTAATGTTATAGCTAGTAAGATATGATCGTGAACGATTGGAATGACTCTATTGGTGCCTCCCTCCGCTACATATTACAATTTGATTAGACAGCTAGAGAGTCTAGCAGTAGCGTTTATGCAAAGTATGAGTGTTGAGGGAAAGTCTACCGTCCCCCTCCCCCCGTCCCCCCGAACGAAATGGAATTTAAATAGAAAATATATACTTTTAACAGTAACTGCCACCCCGGAAGATTTTGTCCGCCCCCCCCCCTACCCAAAAGTTTCAAGTACCCCCCCCCCCTGAGAAAAAAGTCTGGAAGAAAAACTGAATTCTTGCCTGTTGTATAGGACATATATAGCGGGATAGGGGATGATCTAGGCTATATATAATTATACATTTTTATATATAATAGGATATATGTTAATTGATTTAATTTATATAAGATAGGAGGTGGTATGGGGTCATCCATAAATGATGTCACACTCGTAGGGGGGAGGGGGGGTCTGTAATTTTGTGACGATGTGTAATGAGGGGGAGGGGGGGTCAGATTTTGCGACGTCACATTTTTGCATTATAAAAAGCAATGTTAGAAAACGAATTTTAGACGTTATTTCACGTTTTAGATAACTGTTTTAATAAATTGTAATAGTTTCGACAAGATTTTGGAAATATAGATGTTTAAAAAAAATTCAACTGCAATTTTGAGGGGGCTTGTAGGTTGATTTAATTTATATAAGATGGGAGGTGGTATACAGCAATGTTATATCATATTTTCTTTGTTTGTTTTTTTCGCAATATTAATGTTATTTAAAAGAAAAATTCGGTTTCAGCATTCCCAAACAATGTTGTGATTTGTGCATCTGGGAGTGTGGGTAGGGATGTGGTGCGAACGTTTGCTGTGGTTGCTGGAAATGTATATAGAAGATCTAGGCCGAAATATAATGAGAGTTGCAGAATGACAAAAGGGAACTCATGAAATTTAATCACAAACCACTTGTTCAGGTTTTACTGGCAGGCTTTCTGAATGATATATTACTTCATTTTGTTTTTAAACTAGTTACACTCATTTTTTAAAAAAGTACTGCCGCTTTAGTGCTCTCTACAAATGATATTCAGCTGTAATAATACTAATAAACATGGATTCACTAGTTTAAATATAAAAAAAAATATTTTTCGTTTCTAAAACTTTTCATGTAAATAAAATCCATGTTTTGTTTTCTAGTAGGAATACGCCCACAAAGTACATCCGCTGATAAATTTTGCTTGGTGATAGCGCCATCTGCGTTTGTTTTGATCAGCTGCTGTAACCCGTGATTATTCAGCAATCAGGAAATAAATTTGTACCATAAATCAATTGTGAACTCTATCACTGATTTATTTTACACAGCATAAAATGAAGTCAGAATTACAATGAAGTCTGCTAAGCTAAGGGTGCCCTCTAAACTGCATGCCACAGGTTTACGCAAATGCTATTTTAAGTTCCTTTTGTGTTAAAAATGGCTCGACCTGCTGACCGAATGAGACTCAAAGACAAAATCATCGATAATATTTCCAAAGCGATTAAATCGGTGAGTTTTTCTTTGTGGAAAAGAAACAATAATGCTCTTTATTCGTTCTAAATCTAGCACATGTTAGACTAGACAAGCTGTCCTAATGAGTAGTGAATGAGTCTCTCAAAATCATCAATCAATTCAATGGTCATCATGACTCAATCAATACTCAATTTTAAAGAAAACTAAAACTACTAAAACTAGATCTAGATCTACTAAAAAAAAAGAAGCTGAGTCTGATAAATGAACTATTATTAAGGCCTATTGAAAGTATTGATTTAGATGTAGATACTAATATAAATACTATATTATTATTGTAGATCTCTAGGGCAGGCTTAAATGATTCAGAATAGAACCTATCCTGTAGCCTTACTATTACCATTAATTAGGGCTCTATATCCTAAATTCAGGATTATAAACCGACAACAAATATTTCAATTAGGTCCTATTCTATTAATTTGTAAAGTTATTGTTTAGGCCTAATAATTTTTTAATGTGACTTGTAAATTTCAGATCCAGGAATTGATATTTTATCAATCAAAGGATCCTGTACTGTCAGCAAGTGGGGGCGAGCAGCTAGGGGTTACTTTAAGCAATGGAGATCGACCGTGTCATAAATTGTGTGAACACTTGGACCATGCACTTCTTCATGGGTATGTTTTACTTAGATCAAGGCTTATATATGTTATTGATATGCTACATATTAGGCCTACAATTTTTAATTTTGTGTATAGTATGAGACAGCATGAAAAAATGGTAATGTGCATAATTAATAACACAAATGATGAGAGTTCTGTTCGACGGCTCAAGTCCCAAGGATGCCAGTGAGGTTGCATGGGTACCTGACTAGTCATGGATAGTAGAAATAGCTCAAATCATTTAAATTATAAACTACTGCATTAGTCTGTACAGGTGCAATTTTAATTGTAGGAAATTATAATAGCTCCAACTCAGAAATTTACAGTATATTGTAAATATTTTTAATTCAATGTTTTCAGACTAAAACAAGTTACGCATGGATACTGGCGTGTAGTGAAGCAGCTGTCACACAAAGGAATGGTTCGAGATATTGATATGCTTATCAATGTAACAACAGATTTGGGACGAGGTAAAGATACTACCTGTTTCACTTTAAAAATTAGTGAATATAATTTTTCTGCGTTGGCTTAAAGATTGAAAGCTTCTTTTTATAAATAGTCACACAGAATAAATGTGGCTTAAAAAAATGTTTAATATAAGATACATTTTCAAAAAGTGCTACTGAATTCAGGAATTATTAGGCCTATTTGATTATAATATTTTTAAATGTGAAATAAAATAAAGTGCTGTTTTGTTTTTATTTCAATTTAGTTATATTAAATTTTAATTTAATAATGTAGTAAATAAAAATGTGCAAGCTTCAGTAGTACTTCTAATAATTATTGCAGTTCATGGGCAAAGCTGTTTGTTTTCTACTTTCACTACCCCGACCCTATAACTAAAGTACTAGAAAAGGCCAGAGTGTGTTTTTCTGTAACAAATCTTCTTTAATTCTCGTCTTACCTTATTCCCTTCTTGACAATTAAATAATGTAACGATGTTAATAATACAACAATGTTGTGTAATTTGATTGACTGTGTTTGCAGGTCGAGCATGGATGTTTGCTTCATTGAACGAGGGTCTGCTAGAGAGCTACATCAAACTACTGGGAGACAGCACCAAGTTGTTGAAGAAATATTATGATAAAGATGCTTTAGTCCTTGATGAAGATGTGAGTTTGATCTAAATGTTATTGTTAAGAAAACTTTTTTATGTATAAGGCTGATTACCATTAAGTGTGCTAAAATGTCTTTTTAAATTCTTGCATCAGTTGATCATAGATATTGTATAGGTTATCTTTTTTATTATGATAAAGATGACTTAATCCTAAATGAAGATATGGGTTGGATCTAAATTTCATCAATTTGTTTAAGGTTATTAACGCAAGGTATTCTCTGTAAATAGATATGTTTATACTTGTTCTGTTCCTAGTTGAATGTGTTACAGTTTACCTTTATTTTAATAGAGGATGAACAGGCTCCTAACATTGGCTTCAGGCCTAGAGTGTGTCACATTCAGGCTGGAGTATGTAAGTAACTAATTAGTTCTCATTCAGAATTGCTAATAGAATGATTGTAAATATTTGTACTTAACAATCTTTTATGAGATCCAATAACACCTGGCATGAAAATTTAAATAGATGAAAATTCTAGGGGGAAAAAATTGGAAAATAGCATATAACAGAAAAAATATCAAAAGGTGTTATAAGTTGTCTACACTCCATGGAGTTAAAAAGGCAAAGAAGAAGAAAAATCTTTTATAAAATGTAATTCTCAGCTACAAGATACTAAGGTTGTATTAGTTATGATAATGTTTTACTAAATGCCAGATGTTTTATTTATCATTACTTGCCCTACCTTGACCTTTGATCTGAAATGTTCCTAAATGCTACATTTTTATTTATCAAGACTTGCCTTACGTTGACCTTTGACCTGAAATGTTCCTAAATGCTAGATTTGTTTTATTTACCAGGACTTGCCCTACCTTGACCTGAATGCTTACCCACCTCGAAGCAGGACGGACAGTGAGCAGGAGGGAGATGTTTTCACCTCAGTGCCAGACAGTGGTGGACGTGTCAGGACTGGCAGCTTAAGATCAGCATCTGAGGTTTGTGGCACTTTCTGTCAAGTGTTGCCATGGGAAACTTGAATGTCTAATATTATTCATTTGCCCTAGATTGTAGGTTAGATTAGTTGTTTAGAAGTTATATGCAGCTTGTTAACTTATATCAAATACGCATTTAAATTCATAATCGTAATAATACAACCTTACAGAGCACAGTTGTAAAAATTGTAATAAAAAAAACACTAATTTTCTGCACTATATATAGGACTTGAACTTGTAAAAATTTACTTCTGATTTATTCTTTTCTCTCATCTGCACAACATGCTATGTGTTCAATGAATTATAGTTTTAAACATGAAGTATTTTCACGAGAAAAAAATGTTGTATCATTTTTACAGTTATTTAACGTCTTTAGGATTAATGTCACTTTTTTTTACCTTCAATTAACACATATTAAGAGGTTTTTAAGTTCAAGGAACTGCATTACAACCTTCAGTTTAATATATTAATTTGTTGGACATAAATATTTTGTCTTTAAAATACCCCATAAATAATTTTTTTTTTCTTATTTCAGTTTTTTCCAAGCTCACCTGACTCATATCGACTGCCCAGTGACTCTGACTCCGCTAGCACAGCAAGCTTGGACACTCATGTGCAGTCTGAAAGTGCTCTTCAAATGCGCGCTAGCACCTACTCTTCTGACTCTGGCTTCCCCAGTGAAGCAGCCTCTAGCAAGCAGCGCAGCGTGACTCCGACTGACGTCTTTGTCAACACACGACGCAGCGGGACACCAAGCGACACCCTGTCGCTGGTGTCAATCGGATCTGAACCCGACCGCCACCAGAGGCTGGAGAGTATCCTACCAGCCTACAACGAAGACGCCGACGGAAACACAGAATCTCTTGAGGTTATTCGCGTCGTCAAGAATAAAAAGGCTTCAAGCAATAAAACAAAGAAGAAAAAGGTCGGATCACACAAGAAAGAAACCACAGAGAAGAATACAGTAACAACTGAAAAGGTGGAATCTGTAACTCCTATTCAGGTTGATGTAGATACATCTAGTCAGTGTGTTCAGAATACGAAACAAGATGCAGAGATTGATACTGTGAGTGGCAGTAAAGATGTACAGATGGTGAATGGGTACAAAGCTGACTGTGATAGAAGTCATATCCCCCAGTATGACTCTGGGGTGGATATTTGTGGGCTAGCGTCTGATGTTGAGAAACAGGATGTGTCGGTCTCAGACGCAGCCGTGGCGCCTGCTGCACAAACAGCAGACAGGCCGGAAACAGCAAGCCAGCCTTCAGCGTTTTCTCAGATAGAGAGTAAAATTGCAGAGCTTTGCGCAGTAAAAACTGTTCCATCTAGTCAAAACCATGTGAACTCTGAGGTTAAAAAACAGAATGGATCTGACAATAAACAAGTTAGTAAACAAGATAAAAATGTACAGCACGCAATGTCATCCACACCTCCCAAACCTGTAGACTCTACATCTCAGAATGGTCACCATGACCCAGACAGCAAGAAGGACATTGGTCACTCAGAGAGCTTATCCAACAGGAAATTGGAGAAAGAAGAAGTTAAAAAGTCTGACCAAGACGAGGATTTTGATTTTTATTCTGTGAAAAGAAAAGAGGGAAGTGAGAGCAAGCGAGAATTTGTGAACTCTCACTCTGTCTCTAACATGCAGGTAGATTTTGTTTTGTCATTCAGATGTTTTTTTTAGAATGCACTGAGACTTTTTTAGTGTTCTGATAGATTTCAACTTGTTTTATTATAATTTAATTCAGGTAGATTTTTCTTTAGTTTTTGAGTAGAATTTTCTAGTTTTATTTGAGTAGATTTTCTTTTGTTTAATTCAGGCAGATTTTCTTCAGTTTTATTTAGGTAGATTTTGTGTATTGTTTAAATCATCCTGTCATGTGTTCTTAAGTTACAGTAAATGACCTCATTTTATGATTAGTGGTTTAGCACTAGTGTTTAAAAACATTTAAAGCAAAAATAAAGAAAAAAGGGACATTTTGCCATTAGGTTATTGTCATTCTCAATTTTAAGATACAAGCCAATTCAATGACAATCCTACTTCCCCATAAAATATTAAATGGAGTGTGAACAGGTTATACTTATTGGTTTCATTTTTAGGAATTTAAAACTTCTCTCTTCTTCAACTATTATTTTTAAAAACATGTATTGACAGGATTACATGAACTACATTCTCCAACCCGAGTCCCCACCAACTTACACAGAATGTGACCAACCAACGCCATACAACAAGCTAATAGATCTACATGTTGAGTAAGTTTTAGGCTAGCACTCACCCTAGTGGATGGTTAAGTTGTAGATTACACCACAACTGTCAACCAAATGTCTTGATGTAAATTGTAGGACATGAATCCATAGGATATATCAGAGTCTGAGCTATACTGGTATATTACCCAGCTTGGGAAGGTAAAGCCACTGGGTGTAGTGCTGATATTGTAATCACTTCATATGCTCGGTTAGAGAAACAGGCAAACTCTACTTCACATGGACTTTGAGGCTGAGTAGGCGCCCTTCTAACACAGATTAATTTGTGGGGGGGGGGGGCATGGATAGCAATAGTTATATTGTTGTAATGGGGTTAATGCAGGTCTAATATATTGTACAAGTTTTAAAATTCCATCTATCTGTTTTGGTTCCAGCCTGGACAACAACTCCAAACTTCAGATCATGCTGGATATACTCACGCACGAGGATGAAAAATTTGTCAAGGTAAATGTTTTGTTTTTTTTGCTGTCTGACGTCAGTTGTAATCAATATTTATCCACATCTCTTAAGGACATGGGCGGGTGTACTTTTCGTCATAAATCCACTAAATCATCGATTTCCCACTTTTACTTGATCTATACAGAATAACCATCGTTGAATCTAAAAATGACATTGTTATGACCCTAAAAACAGTATTTATTTATAAAAAACCGGGTTCAAAGTAGTGTGTACAGGGTCATTTGTTAATTTTTTGGTAAAAATAGTCATTTTTCGACCTAGAAAAGTACTATTAGGCTTCACGGAAACCTAATGTGTTTCATATCAATGGAAAGGCCGTGACCTCCTTTCTTTATTTGTTCTAAAATTAAAGGACCAATCAAAATACTTATTTTAATGTGATTATTTTTCTACGTCATAAAGTTGTTTATTTTACTCAGTCGGGTTTTTCCGGTATGCAAATTTTTGACCTCAATTTTTTCATTGGCGTTCAACGGCGGAAGCTAGTTAGCGATTGGTCGTTTCGCTTCGGAAGTAAACATTCCCTTAGTTTCAGCGCGTTGCTAAGTTTGATCTAGTTTTGTTTCTCTAAGCTTCTGTGAAATACTTACATTATTTTAACATATAATTATTTTAATTAAATATACTATTAACAGTTTAGATTAGTTTGTGTGAATTATCATAAGCAGTGAGACGATTTCATTTGTTTCTCTTTCGATAATGGGTAGAACAAAACACTCGCTAAAAATAGATACACACAAACATCTAACTAATTTACTAAAGCAAGGGCACGTCCGAATGCAACTGATTGCAGCTACCTCTACTCAATCTAGCACTATTCAGACAAGCACTGGTGCAGATGTAATATGCACATTTACTAAGAAACTGCAACAATGTAAGACACAGTTTTTACAGACAGAAGAAAGCACTGTTACATCTAGTACTGGTAGTGCTAATTGTAAACCACAGCCATGCAGAATTATTGTCGAATGTGATTTGCTTCTTGACGTTATCAATACATTTCCTCGCCCACTGTGATGTAGTGGATACTATTGATGAAAACAGTGTAAAGGGTTTGCTTCAAGCATAGTGTGGCAGTAATAAAAATGTTGTAAACCGTAAGTATACAACTGCAAAATAATCCAGAACAAGGCCATTCACAATAAACAAAGACATCGTCTTATCATAATTGGCTTTAGCAGTGGCGTAGGCAGGGGGGACGGGGGGTTAGGGGGGTCATACCCCCCCCCCCCCATAGACCCCTCGGTATATATATATATAAAGTATGAGGGGGGTGCAAATCGAAAGTTTGAGGGGGGGGGTGCAAATCGAAAGTTTGAGGGGGGGTGCAAATGGAAAGTTTGTCCCCGGGTAAAAATTGGACCCCCCCCCCCCCCCTTGAGACGATCCTGGCTACGCCACTGGGCTTTAGACATGAGACCATGCAAAATATACTGCTTTTTCTGCGATAGCATAATTCAATTTTGGGCCCAGGCATGCTATGGCATTGCTGTCAAAAGAAGGAAACCATAGTCGAAGACTCAGTGAAGAACGCCAAAAAAGACGCGTTGACAACAGCTTTTCTACAGCTCTAGGTAAAACAAAGAGCGCTAGAAAAAAAGAAAACTAATAGCAGAACAAGCTCAGAAGGAATATATTCAGCAGCACCATACTTCAGGCTATGAATGTGGTCGATTTTAGTGACATACAGCTGTAAATTTTCATTTTTTGCAACTTTTTGTTGGTTTTTTGCGTTTTTCTCAGTTTGATGTTTTTTTGTACAATTGTTGAAATAACTTTGTTAATAATTATTAGAACTGAACTAAATTTGCTACTGTTACTCTGTATGTATGTACAAATAAAACGTATTGAACACTTTTGGATTTTTTGTAAAGATTTTTTTTTTATTGTTTAAATAGTGAAAAAATTGGACGAAATAATGACATTTTTACAGTGATGTATCGAAAAAAAAAGTAAAAAAAAACCTATCTTCTTTTTTAAAAATGTAATCAATAAGAAGTCTTAAACACATGTGTCTGCAGACTATATTAAGTTTTCATGAAATTTGTACAAACCATTTTTGAGTTATTTCCATTTAAAAAATCGTCAATAAAATCCAATATGGCCGCCGTCACCATGGCAACGGAGGATTTAAAAAATTTTAAAAAATATTTTTATGCTTAACTCTTTGAGTTATAACTATTAGCCAAGTATTACATCTTTAGACTTGGAAATAAAGAAGTTGGTACTCATCACCCGCCCATGCCCTTAAACCACATGTTTACATTACCACAAATATTTACCATATCTCACAAGCAACTAGCACATTAGCCCAGTCACTCATTTCTCCCACTTCCTCTAGAATACATAACCTGATCCTTATCCCTCTGCATATCCACCCCCTTATCACAATCCATCGAATTCATATCCGTAAGTCCTATCCATATCCAGGTACCTAATTCCTAGCCTTAACCTGATCCTTTCTACTAATGTTAGACTTAACCAATATATCTTTATATCTTTTTTGGGGTCACTAACCACATGTCCCCTCACCTCCAGCTAACCACATGTTATCCTACTAACCACAGTAACCACATGTTATTCCACTAACCTCATGTCCCCCACTAACCACATGCCCCCCACTAACCACATGTCCCCCACTAACCACATGTCCCCCACATCCCACTAACCACATGCCCCCCACTAACCACATGTCCCCCACTAACCACATGCCCCCCACTAACCACATGTCCCCCACTAACCACATGTCCCCCACTTACCACATGTCCCCCACATCCCACTAACGACATGCCCCCCACTAACCACATGTCCCCCACTTACCACATGTCCCCCACTTACCACATGTCCCCCACTTACCACATGTCCCCTACTTACCACATGTCCCCCACATCCCACTAACGACATGCCCCCCACTAACCACATGTCCCCCACTAACCACATGTCCCCCACTTACCACATGTCCCCCACTAACCACATGTCCCCCACTAACCACATGTCCCCCACTAACCACATGTCCCCCACTAACCACATGCCCCTCACATCCCACTATCACATGCCCCCACATCCCACTTATCACATGCCCCCACATCCCACTTATCACATGCCCCCACATCCCACTTACCACATGTCCCTCCATCCCACTTACCACATGTCCCCCACATCCCACTAAACACATGCCCCCCACTAACCACATGTCCCCCACTAACCACATGTCCCCCACTTACCACATGTCCCCCACATCCCACTAACCATATGTCCCCCACTTACCACATGTCCCCCACATCCCACTAACCACATGTCCCCCACTAACCACATGTCCCCCACTTACCACATGTCCCCCACATCCCACTAACGACATGCCCCCCACTAACCACATGTCCCCCACTAACCACATGTCCCCCACTTACCACATGTCCCCCACTTACCACATGTCCCCCACTTACCACATGTCCCCCACATCCCACTAACCACATGCCCCCCACTAACCACATGTCCCCCACTAACCACATGTCCCCCACTTACCACATGTCCCCCACATCCCACTAACCATATGTCCCCCACTTACCACATGTCCCCCACATCCCACTAACCACATGCCCCCCACTAACCACATGCCCCCCACTAACCACATGTCCCCCACTTACCACATGTCCCCCACATCCCACTAAACACATTATCCCACTAACCACACTAACCCCCACACATTTACCTCTCTCCTCCAGATGTTTGCCACCAGAGAGAACCTGATAGAAGGCGACGCTGGCATTGTGTACGTCCTCGTGTCAGACCAGTGTCTCTACCTGCTCAAGTACAGGGCAGCGGCTCGCAAGTTTCAGCTCCACTCATCTGCCCTCTTGGTGGATCTCATCTTTATCAGTGTGAGTAGTGGTTCTTGTTGGCAAGTTTCAGCTCCACTCATCTGCCCTTTTGGTGGATCTCATCTTTATCAGTGTGAGTAGTGGTTCTTGTTGGCAAGTTTCAGCTCCACTCATCTGCCCTTTTGGTGGATCTCATCTTTATAAGTGTGAGTAGAGTAGTGGTTCTTTGTAGCAAGTTTCAGCTCCACTCATCTGCCCTTTTGGTGGATCTCATCTTTATAAGTGTGAGTAGAGTAGTGGTTCTTGTTGGCAAGTTTCAACTCCATTTATATGCCCTTTAGGTGGATCTGACCTTTATAAGTGTGAGTAGTGGTTCTTGTGGGAGGGACTTGTAAAATGTTGTTTATGTGACAACATAGTCTTTCTCCTGTCTGTTTATGGCAAAGCTAATGCAGCAATTTCCATTTTAATTTGCCTGTGATGACAATACATTAATATCTAATTTTATATTCAAACACTCATTAAAATTAATTTTAAGATTACTATATTAAATAGCATAAGGTAAATAATTTTTTTTTAAACTTAAAATATCAACTGACTCTTGGAGAATAACTTAAATTACCAGAAGTTTTGCTTTATCTCCCTTAGACTGGCTTGAATGATCAGACAATGAACATTGAAAGCCGTGGACAAAACAAACAGAAGCAAAGGCTGTGGATTACACCAGGACATCAACAGCTCACTAAGTAGGGTTGTGTGTTGTTTACTTATGTGCTGTGTTGTGATCAATGTGTATGTTGTGTTGTGATCAAATTGTGTGTTGTGATGAAGTTGTATGTTGTGTTGTGATCAAATTGTGTGTTGTGTTGAGATTAATTTGTATGTTGTTTTGCTATCAATTTGTATATGGTTTTGTTATAAATTTGTATGTTGTTTTGTTATCAACTTGTATGTTGTGTTGTGATCAACTTGAATGTTGTGTTGAGATCAACTAGTATGTTGTGTTGTGATAGATTTGTATGTTGTGTTGTGATCAACTTGTGTTGTGTTGTGATCAACTTGTGTTGTGTTGTGATCAACTTGTATGTTGTGTTGTGATCGACTTGTATGTTGTGTTTAGATCAATTTGTATGTTGTGTTTAGATCAATTTGTATGTTGTGTTGTGATCAACGTGTATCTTGTGTTGTGTTAACTTGTGTGTTGTTTGCCTGCTACTCACCATCCAAACTTGTATTTTGTTCAACCATCTCTCTGTTTCTGTGGTATTAGTTGTTTTTGTTTCCTTGTTTTGTATACTCTATTGTCGTTCTTGTTTGTTTAATTTTCCTAAGTGAGTGAGTGACTTGTAGTAGAATCCATTAACTAAATCTTAGATAATCTTTTCTCATGATTGGACAGCCACCATTTATTTTAATTATTAATACATTACCAATTCTCTAGTAACCTACAAGTAAAAGCTTTATTAATTTATTAATTTTTAAATTTTTAAAAGAGTAGGGTACATTGTGTATATTCACTGAAATGGTGTATTTTTTTTAAGTGTATTCTTATCAGTTAACTAAGTAACAAGTATCATACCATTTTTGTTTACCAGGGCAATTTTGGCCTGTCTGACTGAACAAGTGAAACTAGCAACTGAACACATCACATCTGGAAAATCAAGATTCAGTGTTGGGAGTGAAGTCCCCTTGCAGAAAATTGCACTCAGGAAATATATTTCTAAAGAGCTGACCTGTGAGGTTAGTGGTGTACATAAGTTTATTTATTTCACTCGAAAACAGCCCCAAAACTTTTTAAGAATTCCTGCTTAGTAAGTAATTATGCAGCGGAGAATGTAACTAAAAGGTTACCCTTTCAGACCTAGCTGTCAGTGGAGCACATAAGTCGAGTTCACCTGTTTCTTCTACCTTGGAATAAAGCAGTAGTGTAGTCAGTTCTATGCTCAACTACTTTCCCTAAAGTGAGTTAGGCACCCATCACAGCTAGGTGGGCTCAGGAACATCCTATGGACTCAAGTTCTGGATCTGAACTCAGTATTCAGGATAGTGTTCCTGCTCTACAGCCCAGCCACACCATCGTGTAGAGAATGTGACATCAGATTTGGAATTCTATAGTTTAGTCGCCTGCTTAAGTCTAAAGGCACATTTAGTATTAAAGTTTATATGTATGTTGAAATTGATGTAAAACACAAATTTGTGCATTACCTGTGGCCATTTTATCTGTCTTTCAAACTGTCTGACCCTGAAGGATAGTTTATAATCTTGCTTGCAGTAACTAATGTTGTATTATGTCAATGCTACAGCTCAGGATATTTTCTTTATCAGCCACAAATGATTGAGCACTTTTTTGTAGTTGTATGTCTTGTGGAGTTGTCTTTGTTGTGTAGTTGGGTGTGTTGTGGTGTCTTAGTTGTGTTGAGTGTGCAACTCATTAAACTATTCTCTCCACTAGAGCACAGATGTAACCATTGACGACTACTCCCTGGTCTTCTGGGAAGATCCTTCTTCAGGAGGGAAACGTAACTCTGACACAGCATACAAGGAAGGGACACTACTCCTACAGACACAGGACCCTGTTAAAGGTCTAATATGGAAGCCAGTTTATGTAGTTTTAAAGTAAGTCAGGTTTTTTAGTACCTTATAAAATTTTAGGACGGTATTTATGAGTCCTAGCTTAATGGCTTATGGTATTTTTTATTAAAGATTTTTCCCACATTGGGAGTCACTCTCATCATAATCCATTATCTATAGCAGGGGTTCCCAACCTTTTTTACTCTAGAGCACATTCTCAAAAATCGGTAGGGTGGCGGGGGCACCACCTATTTTAAATCGACAAACTCCTTACATAACTTGTCATTTTCCTATAATTTATTTTGTTATTTTCTTATAGTCATAATGTATTAAAAAATAATAAACAAAAATGTTTCAAAATAATAAAATTATTTGGCATTTTTTTCAAATTGCATACACACAGAGAAATGTATTTACAAAACGTAAATAGTGCAGTCTGGCTCGCCGCTAGACAAGTATCAAACATATTTAATAAACCTAGGCAGTCAAAAAAAAATTAAAACTGTAACAAATGAATAAAAATAAATCATATTTTAAAATAATGATTATGATAAAAATTCTGTCTCTGTTGAATAGTGAGAGGCGGGCACATACGAATCGTTCAGCGGGCGTCATGGCGCCCGCGGACACAGGGTTGGGAACCCCTGATCTGTAGCATGAAAATGCAAGTTATCAAAGCATTAAGATGTAACATTTATTTTTGTTTGAAGCAAACTGTACAAAGCATTTATTAAAGCTTGTGTTCTTTAATACCAATAAAAAATATTATATTATAATTATTTCAACTTGTTATCTAAAATGCTTGTAATGCTAGAGAAGTTATATTAAAACAGTTTAAAAAACTACAGTGTCAGGTTCAAGTTTAAGGTATTTTTCAGAAGTGTAATGAATAAATTTTTGTGTGCCCTTTTCTCTTTTCTTACTGGCTTAATTGTAATAGTCCCTGAACTGACATTTGCAATGTATGAATTAATATATAAGTTTAAAATGGCAGCAAATATTGAGTGAATATTTGTCCCATAAATAACAATGTGTGACTTTGAGGTTGAGAATGATAACAGACATGAGACATAAATGTCTTCATTCTTAGACAATGTCCAATTAATTTTTACCCTTCTGTATTAGGAACTCCATGTTGACAGTTTCCAACAACAAGTCTGACCTCCGACCCCAGTCCTACCTCGGGCTAGGTGGTGACCAGTGCGTGGGGTGCCGGCTGACCTCCCAGGGTGACCGCAGCCACTGTGTGGAGCTGATCATTGCTAAAGGTGGCAGCTGGTTCCTGGCGGCGGCCACGGAACATGAGATCTCAGACTGGAGGAACATGCTGTGTCTGGCTGTGTCCCTGGGAACTGTAGTAAGGTTTCTTTAATCAGCCATTGTGATCTAACCACTATAATAAGATATTGGTCCTTAAGTCCATTGTGTTTGAGCAATTATAAGATATTGGTCCATTAGGCCGTTGTGATCTAACAATTATAATAAGATATTGATACAATAGGCTATTGTGGTCTAATAAGTATAGTAAGATGTGTTTCATCTGCCATTGTGATCTAACCACTATATTGTGTTCTAGCAATTATAAGACATTGTGGTATAATAACTATAGTAAGATTTGTTTAATCTGCCATTGTGATCTAACCACTATATTGTGTTCTAGCAATTATAAGACATTGTGGTCTAATAAGTATAGTAAGATTTGTTTAATCTGCCATTATGATCTAACCACTATATTGTGTTCTAGCAATTATAAGACATTGTGGTATAATAACTATAGTAAGATTTGTTTAATCTGCCATTGTGATCTAACCACTATATTGTGTTCTAGCAATTATAAGACATTGTGGTATAATAACTATAGTAAGATGTGTTTAATCTGCCATTGTGATATAACTACTATAATAAGATATTGGTGCTTAAGTCCATTGTGTTTGATCAATTATAAGATATTGGTCCATTAGGCCATTGTGATCTAACAATTATAATAAGATATTGGTCCAATAGGCCATTGTGGTCTAATAAGTATAGTAAGATGTGTTTAATCTGCCATTGTGATCTAACCACTATATTGTGTTCTAGCAATTATAAGACATTGTGGTCTAATAAGTATAGTAAGATGTGTTTAGTCTGCCATTGTGATCTAACCACTATAATAAGATATTGGTCCAATAGGTCATTGTGGTCTGATAAGTAAAGTAAGATATGTTTTATATTGGCCATTGTAGTCTAACAACTATAATAAGATTATACGCCCTTGTGGTCTAATTAGTTAAGTAAGATGTGTCCAATAAGCTATTGTGTTAGAGTTAGATTGTAGCCCGTTACTTCTTTGTGATCAGACTAATACAGAAGAATAGTGTCTACTAGATGATTGTGATTTAACGACTATTATAGTGGTCCATTGTGATGTAACAATTAGAGTAAGATATTGGGTCTGAGTAGGCAGACATTTTGTATGTTACTTAATCTTATAAGTAGATTTTTAAGTAGGTTATCCAACTTATACTTCAGATAATTTTGTGATCAGATATGGTACAAGTCTATTAATAGCATCATAATTTCATTTTGTGATTCAGCTTTATTTTTAGTATGATTGGCCTACATTTTTGGCCTGTATACTTGGTAGAGCTGGCCTATATATTTGATAAAAATCTGGCCTATTTATTATGTCTGCGCTCTATTTGTGTGATATTGCTGTTCCTATATATCAGGTATATGTTGTTTGCCTACATATTTTAAATGCCAGGTTGCCTACACTTTTGAATGGCATGTTGTCTATATATTAAAAATGCCAGGTTGCCTATATATTTTAAATGCCATATTACTTACACATTTAAAATGCTACATTTCCTACACTTATAAAATGCTATGTTGCCTACATATTTTAAATGACAGGTTGCCTAAATATTAAAAACGAGCCGACCCGCTGCATATCATACGCTGCTATTTAGTTGTTTTTTTTCTACTTTTCAGTAATTTATAATTTGTGAATTCGACAGTACCAATGCTGCCATTGAAAATATTTGCTTAAAAACACTACCCCCCCCCCCCCATGTGAAAGCAGCCTCCTCTTAGTTACCTCCTCTAAGTTTAAAATCGTTTCAAATTAAATTATCTGTCCCTAATAGGCGTCACCAAACCCGTCTCTGTGATTGTAAAATGTAAACAGAGTGAACACCGCTCACCAGATCATGTGGGGGTGGTAGTGATAGAGAGGAAGAAAGGGGACTGTAAAGGCGCGCTTGCAGCTTGTTTTCTAACTGATCCCAGAAGAGAATTATATATATAGATGCTATGTTGCCTACATATTTTAAATGCAAGGTTGCCTATATATTTTAAATGCCAGATAGCCTACACATTTAAAATGCCATGTTTACAGCACGATGACACCCTGAGGACATGTGTACCCTGCTGTGCTGTGCTGGCCTGTGCCAATTTGTTCTTGTGTCACGAGGACCTCCAGACCAAATTCTTCCGAACACTGGGGCGGGCCCAGGTGGTGGATGTGACCAGTATAAGGATTGATGAGGAGGACCCCACTTACTGTGTCATTGTGAGTTTTATTCATATTCGCACTTTTTTCCAGTTAACTTTTTAAAAAAAAAATTTCTATTTTTAGTTTTCTGTTGTTTTTTTATTTTTGACTTTGTTCAGGCTAGTTAGTATTGTAAGTTGTCACTATATGCTGCACTTTAGTTTTGATTTAACTTTCAGATGCTTAACCTGTTTTCTGTAATTTGGGAATAAGTTTTTGTTCTTGATAGTCAAAAGTCCTGTGTGAGAAAAGGCTTCTGTTAAGTTGCTACTACGTATTAGTAGTGCTGTATAAATGCCTAGTGTATTGTTTGGAGTTTCTGCTTGTATTTTGAAGGGGTTACATCTTTGTGCTGTATAATGCCTAATGTAATGTATGGAGTTGCCTGCATTATGACTGAGTTAACATCTTGTGTTGTTTAATGTGTGGTGTAATGTGGGGAATGTATAATGTTGTATCTGTGTTATGACCCTGTTACCATCTTGTGCTGTATATTGTGTGGAGATGCACTTTATAATTCCTGGTGAAATGTGGTAGTGTATTATATGGTGCTTATGTTATGACCATGTTACCATCTTGTGGTGAAATGTGGGGAGTGTATTATATGGTGCTTATGTTATGACCATGTTACCATCTTGTATTGCAGGAGTTTGAGTCTCAAGAAGCCAGAGTCTCCAGCAATGAGTGGGTTTTTTACTTTGCTTCAGCCCAGGATTTGGACAGGTACAAAAGTGCAATATGTAAAGCCTGGAAGGAAATATTTCTGGTACAGTAACCTTTTTTCTTTATGTTGATCAGTCAAGTTGATATGTATACATAAATAAAGTTACCCCTTTGGACCTGACTGTCAGTAGGGGCAAAGGAAGTAGAGTTCAGCTGTTTCTCTAACCACAACTAATCCAGCAAGTCCTTTGCCCAACCACCTTTTCTTTCCCTAACTTAGTCAGGTGCCCACCTGACGTGTGTGGACCTGGAGGATATCTTACTGACTCTAGTCTGAGATCTGAACTAAAACTTTGAGGGTCATCACATTGTAGAAATAATTATGGCTCATAATTATGTGGGTTGTTTTTTTTTTTTTTTTTGGGTCATTTTGTCTGTTATTACTACAATATTCAAGTGCTTTGCTTTTTTAATATCTAAAGCTCAGCTTAGCATAAGGTTGGGTATTTGAAACACTCACATTGTAGAAATAATTATGGCTCATAATTATGTGGGGGGGGGGGGGGGGGGGGGGGTTGGGTCATTTTGTCTGTTATTACTACAATATTCAAGTACTTTGCTTTTTTAATATCTAAAGCTCAGCTTAGCATAAGGTTGGGTATTTGAAACATTCCGCGCAAGCACCATGTTTTGTGTCTTTTGTCTTTGGCAACTTGTTAATTTACACACCACATTTTTGTATCATTCAGGTAGAGCTTCCAATCCTGCCACTTGATAAAATTGGCCTCCAGAGGAACTGTCACTCTCATTCACAACATCTGCAGCAGCAGCTCTGCTTCAGGTGACCACTGGCTATGGCCAGTTGCTATATAGCTTGTGCATCAGGTGACCAGTGGCTATTTATAGCTTGTGCATCAGGTGACCAGTGGCTATTTATAGCTTGTGTATCAGGTGACCAGTGGCTATTTATAGTATTTATAGCTTGTGCATCAGGTGACCAGTGGCTATTTTTAACTATTGTATCAGATGACCAGTGGCTATTTCTAAGTTGTACATCAGATGACTAATCGTTATATTGAACGGATAAATTAGACCAGTGACTCTGTAAACAGATATGCTTAGATGGCCATTGTTTACATGAACTTTGCTTTGTGATGAGGTATTGCAGCTGATCATTGGATATGTCAAATGTTTTGCTTTAGCTGATCAAGTTGTAATGTGAAGCTCAGCTTTATATATTCAATGGGCTTTATGAACAGACGTATATTAGATTACCATTTGATCCCAGTCATGAAGAAATTATCAACATTCAAGGTTTAATTTTTTTGTAAATTTTCAGTTTGTGCCTGCTAAAATTGTGAATGATTGTGGATGTTTTCTCATGTTGTATGTAGATCTTGTGACATTCATTGTATGAATGTCAAGCTTATACTTTTTATCATGTGACTAGTCATGTGACTCTCACATCACTACTGAAGTATAACAGTTTAAACAGCTGAATGACAAAGATTCTTTGGCAGGTTCACATTACAACAAATGCTGTCTGGCAACTCAGCAGCTTGGTTTAGTCTTCATAACTTGTACACAAAAAATCTGCCCATAATTCATAATTTTTATATGATTTTTATGGAGTGACTTGATCATGACAACATTTGTTAAGGGTAATTTTGAATTTGACTCCTGATTGTGTGCTTGATTGTTCTGTTGAACTAGATTTGTAAATTTCAAGATATTTCTAAAAATGTGTGATCTACGGTGTAATACACTTTAATGTAGGAAATAGAAACTATTCTAAGAAAAGTGTGGAGATTATCACAGTGAACTCCGTTGTGTGCTACTAACTCTAAAAAAAATGTTGTTGATCTTTTTTCAGTCATTGTTTTACTATAAGTTTTTAAATTTTTTTTTTCAAAAAGGGTATGTTGCAATATTTTTTCTGACTTGCTGAAATAAAAATAAGAGTAAATCATCTGCCTTTAGTGGTAAAAACAGTTCCGTTTTGTTTTTTTTTCTTAATAATATGTGCTAATGTTTACCTGATTTGTAGGTAAAAGCTCAACCTAGCTATAACAGTGTATCAATAATATTTTCACACTTTAAAAGTGACATTTTTATTCACCTTGTGTTGTTAATTTTAAATTTATTTTTAAATTACTATTTGTAGTGAACCTTTTGAAAGTGGTAAAAACTTGGGTAAACAGCTCACAATGCTCAGTGTATCATTTATAGTTTCAATTTTTTAAATTTTGCATAGCTTTAGAGAACAGTTTATTACATTTTGTAGCTTTATTTATTTAATATTTTTTACACTTTAAAATTGTATCCTCACGTTTGTTGACTCTTTGCAGTCCTATACTGCAGTGATCACCTGAGAATTTTCTTTTGTGGAACATTCTAATGCTTCCACATTTGCCCAAACTATGTTTAGTACTTTACAGATAGTTACTGAAGTCTTGCAGGTAACAAAATTTTAGCGGAAGTGGGAAAATAAATAGTTATATTTGAATTGTTTTTCTTGTACTATATCTAGCAGTTTCTTTTTTACAAATTTTTTTAAAGTTAAGAATTTTTATTTTAAAATAAGGTTAATATAGTTAGTGAAATTAGAGCTAATTAAAACACCTCCACTGGTGAATGGGTTTATTTATGATGTAGCTAATACATTGAAATTGAAAAAGAAATTAGTACCAGTACATTGAATTTTTCTGTATAAAGCTTTTTGTTTTATTTTTTAATTAATTATTTTTTTTAAAGTGCCATGGTTGGAAAACTTGTATTTTTGCTTAGCCATATAGGAAGTGAAATTGTTTTATGCCCAGACTGTAAACAGGGGTCTCCAAACTTTTCAGTCCGAGGGCCGCATTAATTATCAAATTTCAGATTGGGGGCCAGTTTCTTCCTAGCATGTCTTTAATTTAATGATTTTTCTGGGCTACGTTCCTCAGCCATCAGCAACAAAAGTTTTTTTCCGTGGACAAAAAGATCTCCGCGGGCCGGATGAGAGGACCTCGCGGGCCGCATCCGGCCCGCGGGCCGTAGTTTGGAGACCCCTGGGTTAAAACATAACAAAATGTTTATCTTTAATATCGTCTAGAATTTATTTTTATTTTTATACTTTGCTTTTGTTACGATATTAAAACAATAGTTTATGTAATCTCTTTACTTTTTTGTATAACTTTCTTTTTGGCTGAATAATGCAAATATTTTTTTCGAATTCGACCATCATTCCAAACAAAAAATTTTGAACAGGCTGGAAGAATCAAAATGCTTTTTTTTAAAATTGTTTATTGAAAGCCCGCACATTTTAATGTTTAGCTTCCTGAGGGTTAAACTCTTCAAAAGTTCCCTAATTAACAGCGTTTTACTTTTTTTTTCAACTTTTTAAATACCGTTATATGCAAACGCAATGATTAATAACGTTCTTTTGTTTTTGATTGGTTAAAAAGTGTCTTTCATCACTTGCTGTGACTGGTGTATTATGCATATAACTCAGTGCATTTTTTAAATTTTGTTCTTTGTCCATTTGAAGGTTAAATATGTTGTGCAGTTAATTTTTTAATTAATATAAATAAGTTTAGTGGACTAAAATAAAAAATAGTGACTGATGATTCTGAAGTGAAAGTGATCAGCGGAGTGTAGGCTTGTGTGTGTGTGGTGACAAAATATAATTTAACGCGTCTGTTGTTTTTTTTTTTTGTTTTTTTTTATTATATATATAAAGTTCTATAAAAAAATCAGTCTCAATGCAATTTTTTAAAATTTACAATAGTTAAACAGTATATTGATCACAAACATTCATTAAGATGGTTTTATCGTAACATCCATAAACTATCCTCATTCACATACAGCCTCCCTTTGCTAGTCTTTTCTATACTAATTTTTTTTTTAACTAGTCTACGACACATGTACAGTTAAGGTGAATAATTAGAAATGGACATCAATTAAAATCTGTAGATTAAATGTCTAAATTAGTGTAAAGATGTGTGGATGATTTTGCTTTCATACCCTTGATCTGTGCAATGTATTTTTTCAAATTCTGCATTGGCCTTGAATTGTCAACTTTCTGCAAAAATAGGCGTGCATATTTTGTTTTTTTTGCCTTGACATTTAAGAATACAGACACCATGACACTTCATTGTGTGTGTGTGTCTTGTTGGTCTTGAGGTGTCCATTGTGCTATATTTATTATTGTGTTAATAATAGACTTGAGCATCAAGCCACCCATTGCACTAGTTTCCATGGTTATGTAGACTTGGGCTTAAACCCACCTACTGCACTAGTTTCCATGATTGTATAGACAAGATAAACACTGCTAGTTTTCATAAATGTATTGCATCCAGCCATGTCTTTCATGTTGTGTGTATATCTGTTGCACTCAAATTCTTAGATACATTTTCTTCCATAAGACTTGAGTTAAAAAACTTGCTAATGTTAAATATATATATATATATATATATATATATATATATATATATATATATATATATATATATATACATGTTCCGGTATGTATATTTTCCTTTTGTGTGTAAGTTAACTGCCGCATGTTCTGGGTATAGTTTCTGTGCAGTTGATAGGTTGTGCTACTGGCCATGGCAGTAATGTTACCAACACCATTGTGTACCCCATACTTTAAAGTTTAATATCATGAATGTTGGTACTGCCATTCAAATAGCAATTGGTTACTCTTAAATCAGTATTGCTGGTCATTTTTTTAAATTTTGAGTTAATTAAGAAAAAACAGATCAACAAAATTGTATGCTACCACTGTGTGACTTTGAAATACATTTTTTTTTAAAACAATGTTCTGCGTTTCTGCAATAATATGAAATAATGTGTAAAAAAACATTGAACTGTTAATTTAAGTTTGTATGATTGTGATATAACTGATGATACTTGGTTTGTTATTCCTCTTATTAGGGATCTTTTCTTGTTCATTTTACTGTTTTGTTGCTTTGAAATGTTTCTAAACATTTATTTTAAAAAGAACAATGTTGATCATTGGTTTATAAATTTTTTTTAACCTTTTGATTGTGTAAAAAATAGTTAAGGACGTGTTCTATTTTTGAGTTTCAAAAAAATGGGTTTAGTGAATAGTTACCTAGTTTTTTTTTTAGGTTTATTCTTTTATATACAAAATCCCATAATATAAAAAATGATCAATTTTTATAATACATTTTTAGCGCAAGTTCAACACATTTACTGAATGGTTGACTATAGGTCTGTGAAAAGGTATTGTTGACTGTAGTTCTATGGAAGGTAAACTGAATGGTTAACTGTAGGTCTAGGAAAGATAAACTTGACTGAATGGTTGACTGCATATTTATGAAAGGTAGCCATTACTGTAAGAGATACACTTGACTTAAAAGCTGACTAATTATTGATTAAAGTGACTCTAGCTGACAGATTGAAGTCTCTATAGTGCAATTTTTATTTTAGAAAATGTCAAAGGTTGGTGTGAAGTACTCAGCTTCTAGATATTGATTCTGTTTTTTTTTTTTCTTGTACAATTTTTTTTTTAATGAGCTATAAATTGATATTTTTAAAAAAACTTATAAATTATACAGTTGTTATGTGGTATATCAACAGTAGCCAGTATAAAAATTAAATTATTTTTGACAACTTGTGACATCTCCACTCATGGCAAGTTAATATTTTATTTTCTGTAGGTTGGAGAATTTTAAATTAAATTGGTTAACTGCAAGCATGATGCTAGCAGTATAAAAATAGTTGGCCATTAACTTTATGACAACACAGCTGCACTTGTCAATGACAAACTTGTATTCTGCAACAAATTTTTATTGTTGGTTTGTATCCTAAAAGATTTGTTGCTGCAAACCAAAGTTCTGATTACAACATTGATCATAATTCCATTCTCTTTAAGTTCTTTTAACTAGGATCAAAACTAAAAATTTAAAAACTGAACTCCTGTGATACTCAGAAAAGAAAAAAAACAATTTTGTTTCTTTTCTTTGTGTGGTTTCAAATTTTATAGTTAACTCATACTTAGGACAAGAAATAATAATATTCAGTTTGTGACTTAGTTTTTGATTCACATTGACAACTTTTTTCACATTTATTGTTATAGATAAGCAGCTGATTTTTAAAGACTTTGTTGGTTTTTTTTTAATATAGACAGCTTTGTTAAATATATGACCATGACACTGAAAACCTGTAGGGTTGTGTTGTTTAAAATATTTCACCACAGCATTTGGGTGGTTTTTTTTTATGACATCTGCTTAAATATATTTTTCCCTACCTATATTTAAAATTAACTGAGCTATTTTTCAAATTTTAGTTTCCGTTCTGTAACACGACTCTGATTTTCATATACAACAGTTTATAAAAATAACTGTTGTATCATATTCATTATTGTGGCACTTTTTAATTTTATGCTGAGAATTCTCTCCCCTTGCATGAGTTACCTCCCATGCTCTTTTGCTGTCTTCATATCCCTAGCCTGGCTGTATTGTGATATTATTTCAGTCGTGTGACCTACAATACATATCATACAAACTATGGCTTGGCTACACATTCCATCCACATTTAGACTAGGAACTCGCCAGTTGAAACAAAATAAAGCATTCATTCTGTCCCCCATCCCATCACCCTCTTTAGTCATGACAAGTTAGTGAAAATAAAAAAAGCTGAAATCGATTTTTTTTTTGTGTCGTTTATTATTGTGATGTTTAATATTGTTTCACTTAACTACATTTTTTTATTGACCAATTTAGGTTAATTACAAAATTTTCTTAGCATTTCTATGGTTTTGTTGTCAATTCTTTATAAATGGAACTCTTTTTAATGGAACTGTTTCTTGAAAATGCGTATCCGATGACAATGCAAACATAGTTAATGTTCAGTCTAACTAAATATTACATTAGTCATTAAAATTTAGCCGAAACGATTTCAACATAACAGGATATAAATAGATGTGTTTCTAGATATCAGGTGCCGTTGTAGTTGTCAGCGTTTTCATAAAGTCACGGATGGCGTTGACCTCCTTCCATACGGCACTGCCCTCCCCGTGGATGGGGTGGATGGGGTACCTCAGCCTCACCTCCCCCACACCGTCTATTTTAGGCAGGATGCATCTGGTTCCAGTGGCGGTGACGTCAACAACTTTACCCTAAATTTTGAATTTCACATTTATAAAGAATGTAAATATTTAAAAAATAGTACTTAAGGCTATATCCGAGTTAACAAAAAAAAATATGAATTTGATAATCTATAATTCTCTTCTTGGAGACGATAGAAAACACCAAGCTGTAAGCGCGCCTCCTAGCAGCCCCCTCTCTTCCTCTCTAGGCATATCGCTACCACCCCCACCCCCACATGGTCTGGTGAGATGTGGTTCACGCTAAATATTTACAATCGTAGAGCTGGATTTAGTGACGGCTATAGGGACATATAATTTAGTTTCAAACGATTTTAAATTTAGGGAAGGAACTAAAAGGAGGCTGCTATCACGGAGGGGGGGGGGGGGGAGAGGATAGGAGTTGGGGAAAGGAGGGTTTTAGTGTTTTAAAGCAAATATTTTCAGTGGCAGCATTCAAATTATGAATTACTGAAAAGTAGAAAATAAAACAACTAAATGGCGTATGATTCGCCGCGGGTCGGCTCGTATATCATATTCTCCTATCTTCGCCTCAGTTTCAGGAAAAACGAGAGGTTTCAATATTACTACTGCCCGATTGAACTGGAGTTGCTAACACCCTTACTGCTACATTTAAACATAGGCTAAGAGAAAGTTTAAATAACTCCTGCTTTATGTTGTTGTCTAATATTACATACAATTAAAAATGCTAGGTGCTGAGATATCAGCAAATAATATAATATTTCAGTACTTGTAACTTGATCGAGATTTTTTTTTTTTTGGAAAACAGATTATATTCTTCTTCAAACAATAGAAAGTGAATTACGTAGTGGAAAAAAGTACCAGAAATGCAAAAATGGTGTCTATAATAATTAATTTTCGTGCACCCCAAAGATGGGTGAGTGGAGAGGAAAGCAGAGTGTAAGAGTACATCAACTACCCGCACCCCCTTTATGTGCACCATCCCCATCCCGAATTATACTCACTCCCTTCACAGCGCTATAACTCCTACATCTACAAACACTGACCTCTGTAGTCTTCATCTTGACCAATGGCTCGATGGTGTCTGCCACGTCAGCCTGCACGGCTGGACCGTTGAAAAACGTCACTGGGGTCTGGTAAAAGGTCATGAAGTTCATGCCGTTGAAGGCCGTGGCGGCCGTCTTCCCATCCTGGTTAGGGTCATAGGTCACGTCAGGGTTCTTGATGACGAGGAGATCATAAAATGATGGTTAGTTCAAATGCAAAAGTAGATCTAGTCTGTGAGTTCAGAGGGCTAAACACACAAACACACACACACACACACACACATATATATATATATATATATATATATATATATATATATATATATATATATATATATATATATATATATATATATATAAAGTGGGGGCCGTGGCGGCCGTCTTCCCATCTTGGTTAGGGTCATAGGTCACGTCAGGGTTCTTGGTAACGTGGCAGAGATAAAAAAAATGATGGTTAGTTCAAATGAATAAGTAGATCTACTTTGTGAGTTCTGAAGGCTACATAATATATAAATGTATAGGGGGTGGGGGTTAAGCCTTCATTTCCCTCCTAAGATCAGCCAAAAGATCTGCTAATATTTAATAAGAAAACGACATTTAAAAATTACAAATACACAAAGGATTTTACTTTTTGATAGATATTTTTTTGGGGGGGGGGGGGGAGAGGTTAAGCCACCACCAGCCCCTTCTCTTTTGCCCATACTCTCTAAACACACTCTATGCGCGTGGTTTAGTATGTAGATTATTGGTAAAGTTTAGTGCATAGATTATTCGTTTAATTAGGTATTAAAGTGTACCGGTTATGGTAAAAGTGTTAATTTGGAATCAGTCTCTTCCAGGCAAATCGTCTTAGGCCATTCCCCCCTCCCCCTCCCGGAGATAAAAGTCTGGAAGAAAAACTGTTTTGAATGACTTAGAGTCTATTGCTTAGGTCAGGGGTCGGCAACCTGCGGCTCTTTTGATGTCAAGTTGCGGCTCTTCAGCTCCATGCACAAATTTTAATAATTATTTTATTTTTATTTCCAAAACTCATTAAAAAATTAGTCTGCAACACTCTGTAATAAACGACATAACAATAGTATAAACAATAAACATTCACTATTCTATTAGAATATGTTTAGTTACTCCCTATCTCAGTGTACTTCCTATTACATTGTCCATTCCGAATTGAAATATTCAACTTCACAAAGAAACTAAACCAGCTAAGTATAAAACTGAAAGGAAAATCTAGCCTATGTCTTGCTTGAAAAGGTGGTTTGTTTCGAAAAATTTTTTTTTTTTTTGTTGAATAAATGATGAGCGGTAAATTACTTAATTACGAAAAATCTGAAAAAAATATCGTTATGAAACCAATGCTTCTATTCAATCACTTCAGCATTAATATAAACATTTTAAAATTATTTATTTATATATATATATATATATATATATATATATATATATATATATATATATATATATATATATATATATATATATATATATATATATAGTATGATATTTGTTTAGGATTATATATGTACTAAACAAATATACTATTGACATAAAAATTTTAGTTGCTCTTTAAAAACCGGGTAATGTTGTAAATTGTAACTTTTGGCTCTTTCGTCTCAAAAGGTTGCCGACCCGTGGTAGTTTCTAATTTTAGATTGATCAAAATAAAATAAAAAGAGGGTGTGCTGGCATCAGACACCTGGGTCCAAACACCCCCCCCCCCTCTCCAACACCGACCTGGTTGTAGGCGATGTTGTAAGGGTTCCACTTGAGCAGGGGCGTCAGGTAAACGATCTCCATGGGGATGGCATAGGAGACCCGGGTGCTGTACTTGGTGCAGACCCCGCTCTTGCAGTCGTCCATCGTCATTGGTACGATCTTGTCACGTGAGTTGACGGCGACGAATAGAAATTGGTCCGAGTAGCCGCGGTGGGTAAGCTGTGTATGGGGAGAAGTAAGGAGAATAAAGGGGTACCCGTTTCATCAAACCCGGTACCCGCGTATTTAACCCTGGCACCCATTGATACAATTATTTCACAAAGGTCGCAACATAGATAACCGAGTTCCCACTTAATAAGATGCGGGGCCCTCTTAGTTTACGGAGGTACCCGTTAAACCCACTAACCTTACCGAGGTACCCACTTAACGAAGTCCACACTTATCTTACCGAAGTCAACACTGAACCTATCAAGGTCCCCACTAAACTTGACAATTTCACAATTTTCAATTACTGAGGTTCAAACTATCTTTATTGATGTCCCCACTAAACTTACCGATGTCCCCACTAAACAAAGGTTCCCACTAAACATAATGAGGTCCCCACTAAACTTACCGAGGTACCAACTTAACATACCTAGGACCCACTTATCGAGGTCCCCACTAAACATATCAAGGTTCCACACTAAACATACCGAGGTGTGCCCTAAACGTACTGAGGTCCCCACTTAACTTACCGAGGTCCCCACAAAACTTGCTGAGACCCCCACTAAACTAACCGAGGTCCCCCACTTAATATACCAAGGTCCCCACTTAACTTACCGAGGTCCCCACTAAACTTGCCGAGGTCCCTACTTAACTTACCGAGGTCCCCACTTAACTTACCGAGGTCCCCACTTAACTTAACGAGGTTCCCACTAAACTTACCGAGGTCCCCACTTAACTTGCCGAGGTCCCCACTTAACTTACCGAGGTCCCCACTTAACTTACCGAGGTCCCCACTTAACTTACCGAGGCCCCCACTAAACTTACCAAGGTCCCCACTTAACTTAACGAGGTTCCCACTAAACTTGCCGAGGTCCCTACTTAACTTACCGAGGTCCCGACTTAACTTACCGAGGTCCCCACTTAACTTACCGAGGTCCCCACTTAAATTAACGAGGTTCCCAGTAAACTTACCGAGGTCCCCACTTAACTTGCCGAGGTCCCCACTTAACTTACCGAGGTCCCCACTTAACTTGCCGAGGTCCCCACTTAACTTACCGAGGTCCCCACTTAACTTACCGAGGTCCCCACTTAACTTACCGAGGCTTCCACTAAACTTACCAAGGTCCCCACTTAACTTAACGAGGTTCCCACTAAACTTAACGAGGTCCCCACCTAACTTACCGAGGTCCCCACTTAACTTACCGAGGTCCCCACTTAACTAACCGAGGTCCCCACCTAACTTACCGAGGTCCCCATGGCCCCATTCTTGGCAAAGTTGTACCACCTGTGGTAGTACGAGGACCTGAGTGGGGACTTGGTGCCGTCAGCCGTGTACAGGGGAGCGCCGTAGTTCTCCTTGACGTCCGCGGCAGGTACGTTGTCCAGTCCAGGGATGACCTGCATGATCTTGTCGTAGATGTTAAAATCGCTTTTACTGAAATATCACCAATTTTAAAATAAATATACGTCATCTTCAATCTCAATACTTAAGAATGGGCATACCCTCTCCCTCGACGTCCACACGAAGCTTGGAGTGTCGTGAAATGCGATACCATCTTTATATACAGTGGGTGGGACTAATAGATACAAACAGGATAAAAACCACAAACTGTACATTTGATCAGAGTCCAATTCGTTGAGTTGGAACCTGGCACCTCGAGTCTTGAGTACCCCAGCCGTGTCCAGGCCTTGACTGGTGCTCCAAGACAAGTCCTCCCTCTGTTTCAACAATAGAGGTTATAATTTGTTGATCAAGTCCTAGTAATAGAAACGTTATCGAACCGCGGGGGGGGGGGGGGGGGTTATGACATACGTGATGATTTTTTGTGGGGGGTGGAGGTATGTGAAACAGGAAACGATACATTTTGTAATTAACAAAATAATTAATTTATAAAACTTTGCCAATTAATTTACGGAGAAAAAAAAACCACCGAATTAACATTAACTTTACGATGTACAAAATTAATTATAAAGACACCGATGCAATAGGGGTAGGGGGGTGACACCAATTCAATAAAATTTTAAAATATAAGCTACTGCATAAACAATGTTTTATCTAGTAAAAATTTTAAGAAATTAAATGGAATTGTATACACAATAGTTGTTGACGGTGGATAGGTTGACACCCTCAATTACTGCACCAAAAAGACATTTCGAAATTACTAGAACCCCTACCTGTTTGAGATATTTAGTGGGGAAATCGAAGGGACTCAAAAACTGATATTCTTCAAATATTTTGTGAGGAAATCGAAGGGACTCAAAAACTGATATTCTTCAAATATTTTGTGAGGAAATCGAAGGGACTCAAAAACTGATATTCTTCAAATATTTTGTGAGGAAATCGAAGGGACTCAAAAACTGATATTCTTCAAATATTTTGTGAGGAAATCGAAGGGACTCAAAAACTGATATTCTTCAAATATTTTGTGAGGAAATCGAAGCCATTAGAAAACCAAACTAATTAATTAAAATATTTTTTAAGGAGATCGAAGGGATTCAAAAATTAATATTGTTGAAATATTTTATATGGAGATCGTATGTATTTTAACACCAACCTGTTTGAGATATTTGGTGGGGATGTCAAAAGGAATCGGGTAACAGAGCACCCTGTAGTTCCATTGCCCGTAGACGGGGACTCCTGTGGTCGAGTCCATGTACATGATTTTACGGGGGTGGAAGGCTATGTTCTCAAAGTTGTCCTTGATGCCGGTATAGGCCATGTAACGCACCTGAAACCAACATACAACATAAAATAGATCAATTCATACAAAGATGTAACTGTTTTAACGTATTAGAGAAAAGATGTGGTCGAATGGTAGAGCGTTTGGCTGTAGCCCAGAGGTCTTTAGTTGGGATCTCGTTTCGGACTTGTGACTGTAAGACGTCCCTGAGTCCACCCAGCTATGAATTTAAAATGTTATATATTTCGTGAAATGAGCTGGTTGAAAATGTAGATCTATGTCAAATTCAATCGCTTTTTCCTACCCATTGTTTCAAAATTATGTGATTGTTATTGTTCCGTAACAAATTATCTCAAGGACAAATGATTGAAAATGTATTCGAATCGACAAAAATAATTCTAAAAACTAAAAGTGCTTTGAGAAAATTTTGTTTGAGATCATTTGTCAAGGATATTATTTGTTTTTATAAATTTTGTCATGAGATCATTTGTCCGTGAGATCCGTTTGTCATTAAGATATTTTGTCTGGGATCATTTTTCTGTCACCGATTCTTAGTGGTATCCACCTTTCTTGTGTCACTATTAACGCCTTTTCTTTAACAGTCTCTTAAGATGTCGACAATGTCCTGAATTTGAGTCTAATTTAGACTCTGATTCACCGCGATTTTCCTTACAAGGATTACCTGCTGTGGTGTGTGGGCTAGCGAATCTTAACAATGGTATAAACTTAAATCTTAATCACAATTTATAGAACGAATATTGTATGGTATTTTATTCTCAGAACTACGCAATTTTTTATGTCAGAGGAACGGAAGTTAAAGAAACGTTGACCTACTTTCTGCATGAGGTCATCCCAGTTACTGGCATCCAGGCGGTGCCGGTCACTCTGGAACGGTTCGGTTATTTCCGTCGTCAAATCTGTAGGTGACGTAAAAGTTAATTTTAAAAAAAAGCAATTATCAAACTGTGATTCTGTTTACGAAAAATGGTAGTAAAACACTTGCCCAAGTCATCCCAACACGCAAACGTCCGTGTGGGATAAAAGACTTCGAGTAAACGGAATTAGGCATAACAACTTTTTTATCAATTTTTTTGGTAAAAGTGAATGTTAATAATAAACGTAACTCAGAACTAGCTTTTAAAAAATTGGTACGGGCCTATAGCAAATTATAACAGACATTTGGAAATAACAACTGGTCTTTAGCAAAGAGAACTCGCATTTAACAAGGAGAAGTGATTTTTACAAAAGAGAAATAATTCTTAACAAATGAAAACTGACGTTTAATAAATGAGAACTGACCTATAACAAAAAAAACTGTCCTATCCATAAGACTTGACCTATAAGAAAAAGAACTGACCTTTAAGCCACATGCCCTCCATGTAGCAGATCACGGGCTTGAAGTAGTTCTTGTAGTTTCTCAGTGTGGAGTTTTGTGTGGCGAACGCCTTGAACCATTCTTTCATCTCCAGGATTTGTTCCTGTCACAGCAGACAGAAGATGTTGGTCAATGGGAAGATAGAAGGCGATACAAGTTGAGAAAACACGCAACATATATTTGTATATGTGTGTGTGGGAGTTTGATGGTGGAAACATATCCACACTGTTGTAGGACATTAGTTGCTATCGCCATTATGTCTCAGATAGCGGCACTATAGAACAGGACTTTGATACATACCGCTACTGTGGCATAGGAATTTGATACATACCAGCACTGTGGCATAGGACTTTGATACATACACGGAATGTGGCACATGACTCACCGCTACTGTGGCTTTGCTTGTGACTTCCGGTGGCACCTCAGGGTATGGTATATCTTCCAACGCTCCAAAACTAGTGTTGGTGGTCGAGGGACGGACCAGCTTAAAGTCCAGATGACGGGTTCGAAACTCCACGCCGTTGATGACAGCGGCGATCTGAAAGACGAGATTTGGTTAAGTTTCAAAAACTATCAGGTTAAGCCAAGTTTTTTTCTTAAATTAATAAGGTCGGATGATGTTCTATATCACTGCGTTAACTTAGCTATGGTCGACGTGTTTTTTTTTATAGTCATAAAAGCCCATCGTAAATAAACAGTCAATTTATCTTCACAAATCTTTACATTACAAATTCCCCTCTCCCAAAAGTACAAGCAAGCTTTCATTATAAACACAAACTGCCCTCAACACACACCTCCAACATCAAAACCTCCCCCATCACACACATACCCCATCACACACCTCCCCCTTCACCCACCTCCCCCTTCACCCACCTCCCCCACCACACACCTCCCCCATGACTCACCTCCCCCACCACTTACCTCCCCCGCCACACACCTCCCCCATTACCCACCTCCCCCATTACCCACCTCCCCCATCACACCCATCACCCACCTCCCCCATCACAAACCACCCCCATCAGCCACCTCCCCCATCACACCCATCACACACCTCCACCATCACTCACCTCCCCCATCACCCACCTCCCCCATCACACCCATCACCCACCTCCCCCATCACAAACCACCCCCATCAGCCACCTCCCCCATCACACCCATCACACACCTCCACCATCACACACCTCCACCATCACCCACCTCCCCCATCACCCACCTCCCCCATCACACCCATCACCCACCTCCCCCATCACAAACCACCCCCATCAGCCACCTCCCCCATCACACCCATCACACACCTCCACCATCACACACCTCCCCCATCACCCACCTCCCCCATCACCCACCTCCCCCATCCCCCACCTCCCCCATCATACACCTCCCCCATCACCCACCTCCCCCATCACCCACCTCCCCCATCCCCAGAGTCCTGATGTAATCACTGTGATCATGAATGCCAGCAGCACTGTAGTCCAGATGTGAAGAACCGTAGTAGTTTCTCGAGCCTTCTGTGTCATGTCGGAGTTGTTTGATACCAGACTGGCCGTCGGTTCGGATCCTGCATAGAGGATATTCATATATCATGTAACATGAGTATATATATATATATATATATATATATATATATATATATATATATATATATATATATATATATATATACATATATATATACATATATATATATATATATATATATATACATATATATATATATATATATATATATATATATATATATATATGTATATATATATATATGTTCTTGTGTCCAAATAGGAGTTTTAATTTGTTGATCGAACGCGACGAACCTAAACTGAAATTATTTTTATATAGATAAATAATTCTTAATAGGCGGCGTGGTCGTGTTGTTAGAGTATTTGATTACTGACTCAAATGACCGAGTTCTTTTCTCCTACTAGACTACGTGTAGCGTCATTAAGTCCTCCCAACTTTGATGTGTATGGGAATTCAAATCTGTTGGACTACACAACCGCTTATATCCGACATTTATAAAAAAAAACACAGCAAAAGCAGAAAAAAAAAATCTCTTATAATAATAATAATAGTTCGTTTGGACTACGTACCATGGTATATCGGAAATAAATAATGAAAAATAGCTTAACACAGGGGTCGGCAACCTTTTGAGACGGAAGAGCCAAAAGCTACAATCTACAAAATTTCCCAGACTTTAAAGAGCCACTAACATTTGTATGTGTATTTCGGTAGTGGAAAGCATGGAACAATTGCCACGGGGCTTGCCACATCACAGCCCCACAGCTGTCCATGTACACTCTACACCACCTATTCTCATTGTTTTTTATTTAGTTTAAAGTTGTTTTTAATTTTCCAGTATAATTTTTTTTTTGGAGTTTTGAAAATAAAAAAAATATAATTATTATGGAACTGGAGAGACGCATATTGACATCAAAAGAGCCGCATGCTGCTCGCGAGCCGCAGGTTGCCGACCCCTGGCCTAACTAGATGAAGGGTTGAAGCTTCTCTACCAACCTTTCCTCGACGAACTCCTGTAGAATCATCGTTTGCTTGACCAGTGTGTTCAGTTGGTCCTGTTGAGCGTTCAACTTTGCTAGAACTTCCGGGTCAATGACCGCCCCGCCCAGTGCCACAAGAGACAGTACCAAAACAATCTGCGACTATAAAAAAAGAATTGGGTCAAGGTCACAATGTTAAAAGTCACAAGGTGTTGTTAGGCAACATTTTTATGTAATAATTAAAAAAAAAAACGGTTTAATTAAATTATTGTTCGTTATGTTCACCTAAGGCCATAAACTGTTGGGTTTGTGTTGATTATCAAGAGAAATTATAAATTGTTTTTTTCGGTTATACAAAATCGCTGAAAAGTTGATACAGAACTACAAGTTTGATACGATACTTGTATATGAAATTACATCAACCTAGCTGTAACGATACTCGAATTATCGTGTTTACAGACACACATGCACACATACATACACACATAAGAATACGGACAAAATTGCAAAACTATTATTTTTCCGAAACGTCGAGATATCTGTGAAAATCTTGATTTTGATTTTTTTGCACGATTACAATACTTCCTGTATACTTTGAATACGAAAAAGTAAAAAGAAGACGGATCTGGAGTCCCACATATCCTAAGAATGAATCCCTATAATATCGCAGGAATGTCGCTAAGGGGAGAAAATAGCAGGGAAGGCCTAAGGAAACATAAAGGCGCACGGCGGAAAAACAGCTGTCATGGGGGACTGCCAGGAAAATTGCCAATGATCGACAAAAGTGGAGGGAGCTTTATGTGGCGGTCCAGTATGCCTTGGGCACACAAAAAGGAAAAGGAAAGTGATGAGGGTAATAATTCTACTACAATGAAGAACAAAAAAAAATGTGACAAACCGGACGACATCACACACAGGTTCAGGCGTATTGTACTTACGTTCATGACTGGTCCGCTCAAGCTTTCTGCTAAACGTTGCATCAAACGTTCACTTTTATACTGCTCACAGCTAGATCCACACGATGCACCATCGATTAGTTGACGCGTGTCTAATCGGTATTCGGATAAAGGCATCAGTCAGAATACAGAAAGGGGTCGGTGCGGTCGAGACGGTAAAGCTCATGGTTGCTAAACCGAAAAGTCTCCAGTTCGAACCCTCGGGCTGATGAGGCTCGTTAGCTGGGGACAGCCACTCTTCTAGGAGAGACAACTCCAAAATCAAACAACTGCTACCTTGTAGTTTGTTCTTGGTTGGACAAAGGATATAATCCAAAAAGAAAAGTAGGCTGAAATCGGAGTCAATGGCCTCAATGGCGCATAACCAATTGACACGTATCCTGAATTGTGTTGGAGGGGGATCCATTCCAACACTAAAAATTAAGAACAGATTAGAGACAGATAATATAGTTTTTAAACGATTTGAAACTAAGGGGAGGTAGCAAGATAAAGAACTATCCTTCGCTATATCAGATTGCTGTGTCTGTAGTTTGTGGTCACAGACGGCTGCAGTAGCGTAGCGAGGGGGGGGGGGGGGGGGGCGGGGAGGGACATATGTCCCCGGGCGCCGACCTTAAGGGGCGCCAAAATGGGTTGGAAAAATAAATTGAAAGGTTGAGGGGGGTGAAAATCGAAAGTTTGAGGGGGGGGGGTGCAAATCGAAAAGTTTGTCCCCGGGCGCCGGGAAGGGTCGCTACGCCTCTGGACGGCTGCATTCAAGGAGCAGAAAATCGTCTTTTAGATATCGCGAGCTACTGATGATGTTTTGAAAGCAAATATTTTTAGTCGTGTCAACTTCATCAATAGGAAATCGCTAAAAAGTGGAAAATAAAACCAATAGTAAAAAATAGAAGAAAAAAAAAACAAATATAAAAAAAAGAAAATTAAACTAATCTGAGGGGTCGGCGTGGTCGAGTCGGTAAAGCTCATGGTTGCTAAACTGAAAAGTCTCGAGTTCGAACCCTCGGGCAGATAAGGCTCGCTAGATAACTCCAAAATCAAACAACTGCTACCTTGTAATTTGTTCTTGGTTGGACAAAGGCTATAGAAGCACATCCAAAAAGAAAAGCATGCTGAAATCGGAGTCAATGGCCTCAATGGCGCATAACCAGTTGACACGTAATCCTTAATTGTGATGGAAGCATGGTAGAGTCGTCAAAAGCTCATGGTTGATAAATTCGAAAAAAAAAGTTTCGAGTTTAAACTCTCTGGCAGATAAGGCTCGATCCCTCCCGACCCTAAAAATTAAGGACGAAGAAGAAGAAACTAATTAGCTTTATTTAATAAAATATTTATATTAAATTATATGCTCATGAGATCTTTTTTATTTTTTAGCGAAAAAAGTATTTACTTTTATCACATTTTACACCTGCTGATTCTTACAGCTAGTAATAATCTATTAAGACATTATCTATCATTCAATGAGTCTATTCACACGTCTGAACGTGCTATTCGTACTATTTAAAACTGTCTATTCACACGTCTTAACGTGCTATTCGAACCATATACAACTGTCTATTCACACATCTTAACCTGTTATTCGTATATAGAACTGTCTATTCACACATCTTAACGTGCTATTCGTACTATATAGAACTGTCTATTCACACGTCTTTGCTTTTATTACAACATTAAATCTCCAATTCTGATTTCTCTTAAATATCAACTGCCATACCTCAACAGTATAGTCTTTCACACCTCAACTGCCTATTCTCACGCGTACCCCTCGACTATCCCCACGATCAAAAACGTAGAAAATGACGGCATCTGTCGCTAGTAAAACAAAGGGCGGCTACTCGAGCTTAACATGTAAAAATAAAACTGTTGAACTAGGTACAGGCGCGATCAATGGCGAGAACATACAGGCATACATACACCTGCATAGGTGTGCTTTCATCTGGTTAATTAATTACTCATTAGTTATCAGGCAAAATCGTCAACAGCTGAAAGGATTTATGCAACCAGTAAACAGTAGAATCATTGGTTTTTTAATACTCAAGTATAAAAGGAATACAAGTTTTGCAGTCTTCGCTATAAAAATCCGATTTGCTTCTAAACTGGCATTTTTATTTTTGACGAAACAACCTACACGAACATCAGTTTTATTGATACAATCTAGACGAGCATCAGTTTTGTTGATACAATCTAGACGAGCATCAATTTTGTTGATACAATCTAGACAAGCATCAGTTTTGTTGATATAATCTAGACGAGCATCAGTTTTGTTGATACAATCTAGACAAGCATCAGTTTTGTTGATACAATCTAGACAAGCATCAGTTTTGTTGATATAATCTAGACGAGCATCAGTTTTGTTGATACAATCTAGACAAGCATCAGTTTTGTTGATACAATCTAGACGAGCATCAATTTTGTTGATATAATCTAGACGAGCACCAGTTTTGTTGATACAATCTAGACAAGCATCAGTTTTGTTGATACAATCTAGACGAGCATCAGTTTTGTTGATACAATCTAGACGAGCATCAGTTTTGTTGATACAATCTAGACGAACATCAGTTTTGTTGATACAATCTATGGACAATCTAGACGAGCATCAGTTTTGTTGATACAAACTATATCGAGCATCAGTTTTGATGATACAGCCTAGACGAACATCAGTTTTGTTCAGACGAGCATCATTTTGAACTGAATCCAAATTTTTGCTGACATGCCCACACTGAAGAAAGCACCGACTACATAGCAAACACATGTTACATATCCAATGTTTGTTTTGGGCGACAAAAACTCAAAAAAGCCAACCTGCAGACGTTCGTTTTCGGATGACGTCAAGACGTGAAAAAAAAAAAATCTTTGTGTTGCTATAGTTTCTGGTAACAATTTCAGTCGCCACTTTTTCCAGTCGTAAAAAAAAAATTGAAAATAGTTACCTTCAAGTTTAAATACTGCGATTGCTTTAGTGTTTGCGTTTAGTCCATACCATTACCAAACCGCACAACAGGCAAGAAAATGAATGCCTTGTTACTTACATCCCCTGCCTTAACTTTTAACGAGACCCTGGGCGTGTCCGCGTCATCCGGCTCGTGGGGTCCACTGGTGAAGAACGAGGCTGGGGTCCGGTAGTAAAAGTTGCGGTACGCACACCTCAGGGCCGTTTCGTTGGTTAGACCATCCTCCACTCCAGGTATGGGGGTGAATATGAAATGTTTATAGAATAAAACGAAGTTAAAAGCTAAGACAAGGAGGTTAAATCCTGGAAGCAGAGTTTCTTTTTGGAAACTCTTCGGGGGGGGGGGGGGGGCTGCGAAGAAAGTCTACCGCACCACCCCCACGAAATTTGAATTTACATAGAAAATACATACTTTTAAAAGTGTCCGCCCCACCCCCATCCCCGAAAATATCAAGTCACCCTCTCTCAGGGCCGGCGCTACCTATAAGGCGAACTAGGCGATTGCCTAGGGCGCCATCGCTAGGGGGCGCAAAATGTTTAATCGCTATTATCAAAAAGTAGCTAATAATTAAAAACTTTTATAAAGGAGTAGTGATCTATTTCAGCACCCAGGACGAACTATCAATTTTTCACCCTCACCGCAAAATTAGGTCTATATAGGCCTATATTTATTCGCGATAGTGAAAATGCACCCACACCTCCCTAATTTGGAAACGTCGGGGCGCTTTTTACCAGTCACTTTGCCTTTTTAATTTAGTGTCACATCATTAATGTAGAAAACGATTAAATAAGTTCGTAATTTAAATTTCGAACATTTCAAAAGGTTATCTAATTTTAATAGGGCTTGTAAGTCTCGTTTTCTCTGACTTTGAATTAGAAATATGTTCTGGTGTATAGAGTTATGTAATGACGGGGTGTTCAAAGTATTGTACTTGTTTGGTAAGTTTTGATGAATCGTTTAGATTTGGGAGTAACGGCGGAAGGCTGTTGCTGATATGGTTTCATAGGTATAAAGCAGGGGTCTCCAAACTTTTCAGTCCGAGGGCCACATTAACCATTAAATTTCAATTCGGGGGCCAGTTTCTTCCAGGCATGTCTTTGATTTTTCTGGGCATATTTCCTCAGCCATCACCAACAAACGTTTTTTCCGTTGACAGAAAGATCTCCACGGGCGGGATAAGAGGACATCGCGGGCCGCATCCGGCCCGCGGGCCCTAATTTGGAGACCCCTGGTATAAAGTAGCGAAGTGATCAAGTGTCATAATTTTTATTCGGCTGTTTTGTAGTTGAAGGTCTAGTGGAATCTGATTGGTAATAGAGAAATGATAACGCAGGTGATGAAGTATCGTAGTTCTGGAGTTCGGGAGCTTTGATTCTTGTGGTATTAAGGTATCGAATTATATTGACTGTTAAAGTGTAGTAGTAGGTCCAGTGAAATCGGTGTAGATTGGGAGTACCGTTTGTAGAGCTTGGTGAAGTTAAACGAGTTGGTGTCGTAGTTCTGGAGCATCGTGTCTAATTATCTTTAGGTATCGATGTTTGATATGTGTTGTGAATGTAGTAGAGTAAATCAAGTAGTCTAGTTTATCGTAAGTTAGATTATTTCAATTCAGTAGCGAACACACTACAAGGAAAGGCAGGCGCTCTCTAGTTGAAAAACATACTTTAGTTTTTTAGGAATCTATATTCCTACTCTTAAAGTATGAATATATAATATTAAATAGGACGGAATTTATAACTAACCGTGAACTTTGTTTTGTCAAATTATAATTTTTTTTATATTTAATCAATACTTCTAGCAATGTCTAAAACAGTTACCCGTTTTTAATTTGGTGAAAAGCGTCCCTTTACTTAGGGGATCCAAAATTTGATACGATAATAATCCATAGTAGAAGACGTATACAAATGAATCTCATCAAACTTGAATAAAAGCATGTTGTAATAAAGCTAAAGTTTTTAGACTTTCAATCCAAACCTACAGTTAAGTATTCTATAAGTAAAATATATTGTTTTTACAAGATTACATACCTAATATAAA